GAGCCTTTGCACCATCATCCTTCAACCATGCCACTGACGCTGCTATGGACACCACTTCTCCTTCTAAGGCTCCTGTCTCTCACATTCTAAGGTGATTTCTGGTTCTGGGAAACTTTCACCCAGTGGTAGCAGTGCCTTGGCTCGTCTCCAAGGTGGAGTGCAGGAGGCACCCTTTAGACTATAGCTAGGGCTCCTCGTGGGCAGTGTCAGCACAACTTGTTCTCTTTGGGCATTCCAGGAACCCCAGAACAGGTTATGGGCTTAACCTCTGACATAGCTCAACTGGTGAGTTGGGCAGCACAAGGCAGCCAGAATTGGGTATATGATATCATCTCCAACCCCATTTGGAACATTTAACAGCTGGCCAGCCTTCCCCCAGAACCCAGGTGTAGGTGCAGACACATGATCTGGCTAAGGACTTGCCACCAAGCAGACTGGCTGCACAAATGGCACTTCACTATTTGCCAGCATAACTCCCAGTCCTGTGGGTCCTGTAGCTCACAGGAGTGGAGGGAATGCTGGGTTTGGCTCCCGACCCCAAGTCCTGGACCCAAGTCTGGAGATCAATCTAGACTGTGCTGGATCTGAGGCACCCCACAGTGGAGCTTCTTGGACACTCAGCATAGCCCACATAGTTCAATGTCTAGCTTGACTGATCTGAGCTCTGGGCTTTTCCTTGCATTTGACCTGGCTCTGATGTCCACTGCTAGCTCTCTCCTCCCTCCCTCCCATTGCTTTCCTCCTTCTCCAATGATGTACATAAAATCCTGTTGATTCTAGTTTTCTCTCAGTTTCTGTGTCTTCACTGATTTGAAGCAGTGGTGGAGAAAAAAGTGGCATGATGGGTGGTGATATTTAGAGCCAGACTTTTGACAAATGTTCTCAGTCCAGGGAAAAAGACGTGAATGTGCCACTTTTACGACAGCCGGGGCAAAGGACCAGACAGGACTTCAAGTAATAGAGAGCAGGCTCTCTATTCTTCAGTGGTATAGCTCTTGAGTATTTTGCCTGAACGGACTTCACTTTTCCATAATGATGTATATGATAATCATCTTCCACTTTAAAAATACACACACACACACACATTTATGTGTGTCTGTGTATTTAGGTCCCCTGCCCTACTTTGCCTCTTTTCCACTTCCAGATCAACCACTTCTTTTTACCTCCAAATCTCTATTTAATTATCAATATATAAGCATTATCAATTTTCAAGTCACTACTATAACCTAGAATGGAACTTTTACTATCAACAAACCCATCCACATCACAATCTCCTTTTCTCCCAACTAGGTTGTATTGTGAATTTATTTCACAATCCAATGAAATAAAAATTACTGCTGAGCAGTGTAATATGAAGACTTTTCCTTTTTTTCCTATTTTAATTTTTTCTTAATGTTCTATGTAACAGTCATTTATTCAACCGTAATACTCCTCTCCAAATATATAACTCTTCTCTAAATATGTTAAATATATCAGTTTGTCAATTTTTGTTAAAAATATATCTCTGGAGCCTTCTTCCATGTGGACTGGTGGTTTTCTATGCAGTCATCTTGGTGATTCCCTTGTATTGTTGGTCTTTCTTTTGTCCGCATCTTCCTCTTAGTTTAATCACTCATTTTGGTTGAGCAATAGCTTCCCAATAAAGGGCATAAAAAGTAAAATTTCTAAACCCCAACCTTGGATGTCTTAAAAATTTTACCTACCCTTATACCAATTGAGGTCAGAGAGACTTTTCCTTCAGAATTTTGAAGGTATTGATCTATTTTCTTCTAGCTTCTGGCATCTTAAGATTCTCCACCCTTTGTATGAAATCTAGTTTTTTTAATTGTAGGGTTTTGTACTAAAATTCACAATGATAAACCTTAGTGTGGGGTTTGAAAACTGATGGCTTTCAGTTAAATTTCCTTGAATTATTTCACTAATCATTTCTTTGCTCTCCTCCCTCAGTTCTCTCTTTATAGGATGTCTATTATTCATACATGAGGCCTTTTATTCTGGTCTTTTCTTTCCTATTTTCCAACTGCTGTTTTGTTTTGTTTGTAGTACATTGTAAAAAAAAAAAAAATTCCTCAACTTCATTTTCTAATCCTTCTATTGAGTTTTAAATTTGTATTTCAAGATGTTTTTAGTTTTCTGGATATTTGTTTCTTGTTTTGTAATGGAGAAAAACTACTAATTTTTTACCTGAGAAATTAATGGGAATTCTTTAAAAAATGTTCTCCTCTCCTTTCATAGTCCCACTTTCCAACATACTGGGTTGTTTTGTTTGCTTGTTTTGAGGCTACCTTTTATTCCAGATGTTCCTCAAATGTGTGGTGATCCTTGGCTATCTGAACATATTAAATAGGGAGACATGAAGCTGTCAGGAAGTAGTTGGAGTAGAATTTGTTTACTGTGGCATTTCTGAAACTTTGTTGCTTCCTTGGGGACCCCAATATCAGCTGCCAATCTTCTCATTTCCTTTCTGGAGATCATAAGCCTGGCTAGTAATATTTAGTCAAGCAGGGGAAAAGGAATGGGGTTTAAAATATTCTGATATAAATTTTCACATCATCCTCCTTATCAGTCAGAGTTCTAGGGGTGGATTATAAATGGAAACAAGAGGATTTAAAGGGGTACAATAGGCCTAAGAAAATAACAAACTTGGATGGAACAAACTTCCCAAGTCTGGGATTCAGATCTTGCTGCAGGTGAGGTTGCATCCCACCGATTGGCAGAGAACGTTGCTAGGTTGCTCTGGGTTATGAGCCAGTAGCAGTCATTAGGGAAGCAGGAAATACCCTATTGGGAGTACTCAGGCTGGGATACTGCTGGTAATATTAACCTCCATCACTTGGGTAAGGCCAAAAGCTCAGTAGCTTTGTTCTGTAAGGCAGCACTGATGGTGGATGAGGCTGTCTGAGAATTAGACTCACTGATAAAAATGGGGATGATAAAGTCCCTGTTTCCCAACAACAAAGACCAGGTGGTGGTACCTAAGTACCAGAACAAAGGCAGACACAATGATCATAATGTGCAGCATGGGTGGAATGGGAGCCAAGTGGACCAGATTTAGAGGTTTATGGATATGGCTAATAGAACACAATGTCTAAGGGAAAAATGGGTAGGTGGCCAACAAAGCTGAGTATTATTCAGCTTTACCTTCAAAATGAAATGAAAGGATAATAAGGGAAGTTGCTTTGATGAAAAGTCACAATCTGGTTCTCCCTACCTGCCTCCTGCAGGGACTGCAGACCTACTGACCCCACCCACTGACACTTACCAGATGCCAGCAATTCCTTCCACTTTCCAGTTGGCAGACCAGGCTGCTAGGCCCCTGATCCTGTTGTCTCTGCTTCCCACCACACTCAATATTTATAAAGGGGGAAGCCCTAGTTGTCTTCTTTTGCCTCCTCTTACCAGCCCTCTTCCTTGTTTTAGGTCTAGTCCAGTATGGGGGTCCTGGCCTGTGAGAGTAAACACCCAACTCACTTAGCATTAGCTGTAGCAGTTCCCAGCTCCCCACATCTATCTCAGAACCCTTCTCCCTCAAGCCTATGCCCTGCAGAATGGAAACCCCAACCTCCACAGGCATTGACTCTCCTCTTTCCTAGCCCACTCTAGTCCCTTCTACCACCAACCCCATGAGCATTGGACAGCTCCAATTCTGGCAAATGTCCCTCCTACCACCAGAAATGTAGTAAAGCAACTCACTGTTTTGAAAACAAAGGCATTTATCCCACTTCCTATGCAAACTATACTATAGGGTAACCAAATAGCAGAAGAGAAAAGTTTCTTTTGCAGTTAACAAAGGAATGAAAGAATATTGCTATTATGTAATCCCCTATTAAGCTGATAGATGTAGGCACTGATTATCAGCTTTGACTATGAATAACCCAATAAGAGAGACAAGTAGACATTCCGTATCACTTGATAGAAGAATACTATCACCTCTGAGGTAATATTGACCTCCAACAATAAAACACATATCTGAATCTAAGTCTGTGGACCACAAAACAAATTAACATAAAATGCAAAGTACACAGAAATATGTTGAATGATATCAAAGGGAATATAATCAGCAAAGTCTGGGAAACTACATGGCAGATACCCTGTTTTGTTTGTTTCTTTTTCTTTTTGTGTGTGTGTATGTGATGCTGGGGATTGAACCCAGGGCCTTGTGCATGTGAGGCAAGCACTCTATTAACAGAACTATATCCCTAGTCCTACCTTGTTTTCTTCATAAATTAATTTAAAAAAACAACAACAACAACAGCAACAAAAAAAAAAACTGGAAGAGTAGGACTCTGCAATATATGGACTTTAGCTGGACCTTGATGCTGTTTACAAAAACTAAAAATTTAATTACAAAATTATTATTAATTTTTTGGTGTGATAATGGTATTTGTGTATTTTAAGGACTCATACTCATGAAAGAAGCATGTTAATGTCAATTTAAAAATAGTATGGTGGATCTCAAGTGGAGTTATAGATGAAACAGCTATGAAACAACTCATTAGCTATGAGTTGATAATTGTTCAAACTTACTGGGTACATAAGACTTCATTATTTATTCTGACATATGATTACAATTTTCCACAATAATTTAAAAGGTACATACCAGAATTTAACAAACCAATCACTTGAATTTAGGAAAAGACTTTTTAAAGTTATCCTCCATCCAGAACTCAATGGCTGTGGTATTTGAAAAACAAACTTTAAATATTCTTATATTTGTTGATAAAACAACAGACTCAGCTAAACAAAACAAAACAATTCACTATTTCTAGACTAAACGAGGAAAAACTACACTAAAGTAAAAGAACATAGGTGAGGCTGATAATTCATTTCTAGCTCTTAATTTTTCAGCCTACATATTTAATACCTGCTGTTTAAAAGGCTGCAATACATTAAGACTCAAAATTTATATGAATCAGTCACTATTCTGTCAGGTCAGAGAGCCATCTATTAGTTCAGGTAAAATCAACCTGATACTTAAAATACTTTTCAATAAAAAGTCATTATATTTCAAAAAAATTTTCCTCTTTATTGAAACATAAAACACATTTACAGCATGCAGGTTAACTTAAAATTATACGGTGTCTTCCCAAACCAATTATCTTTGCATGTTTTTCAAGCACTGAAAATAAACCAACATATTCCACAGGTAGACTCAGACTCTATTCTGTCACCTCATGTCAAATTCAGAGTCACATACAAATTAAGAGTTATGCACAGTAGTCAGTTTTCTTAAGTTAAGCAAATAATTTAATTGATCACCATGAATAAATATTACTTTTATTTCATTGAGTTTATCTTCTGAACCATTACTCAATACCATTCAGAGTAACATTAATATACCCAGTCAAAAAAAAAAAGGACTGCAAATTGAAATAAGTGTCAATATTCTAGATGGTCAGACATTTCAATTTGTGAGAGTAAATGCTATATTTAATGACCTACCATAGCAAAAAGAACAGTTCACTGAAAACAATTTTTATGAAACTCCTGGTACACTTTATGAAGTTTGAAATTATAAATAGAAAAGAACCATTAAGATATTTAAAAAACCTAACACTGTGTATTCTGAACCACATGCTAGTTACAATTCATTGTTTGTTACACAGCACCATACCCATGATACATCTTACAAGAAACTACTGTATTCAGACAAGAGAAAAAAAAAGTTGTTTTTTATGAATATTGCTAAAGAAGCAAGTTTTCACTTGAGAACAAAATATAAATGTCTATGTGAAAGCAGCCAAATGTCTCTCCATTTAGAAAACTATCACCACAAAGAGGCTTGTAGTACTTTCTTATCTGTAGTACTTATATTTCACTGCACCCAAGATTTCATCTCAATTTATGGAGTGTTTCTTTTAATCAATCCTAAAAGCAACAATCATTTTAAAGGCTGCAGACTACAACAGCAAGGATTTTTGACTGTTAAAAAAATAAATAAATAAATTTTTTTCTTTCAAATCAAAATTATTATAAAAGTGGAAATTACAATAGTTAAGGAAATAGAAAAATAAGCCAATTATGATCTGAGTCTTCTGACTATGGCTCCAAATTTAATAATACAAATATCTGTGTATAAAACTTTTTCAAAAAGTTAATTCTGCCAGCCAGATCCTAATAACAGAATTCTCCAGTTTCCCTACATTCACTGCAAACTTCTGCTAATGTAGTTGTAGTTGTAGTCACCCCCCCCACCAATGGTGAAGCAAACATTGAAATCTCTTCCCTAAAATAAACTGTTGACTTAGTATAATGATCTGAGGAAGAAGTGGCAAAAATTGGTACACAGTTTTATATGTGTGTATATACATATACATATATATATATATATATATATATATATATATACACACACACACACACACACACATACATATATATATATATATATATATGCGCACAAAATTATGGGCTATAGTCAACAATGTAATTTGTTTGAGGATCATTAGTGATTTACAAACAATTCACTATTTCTAGACTAAACGAGAAATAAATTATAGTGTATGACTTAGTGCAGCAGGTTAAAAACACCTTTAGAGACTGTGACTAAAATTTACCTACACATCTTTAACTTCACTGTGTATCTGTCCTGCTTATTCACATTTTCCCCTCAATTTTCATAGGCTAAAAATTTAGATCAGCCCATACAATAGCTAACAATATAAAACTGCTTAATTTTATAGTATCTTAATTCATTTCACTATATGAAAGATGACAAATTGATACCTGTCCAATTCTTACATTAGCTAGCAGGCTCATCAGAATGAAGCAGGGTATTTTCATTCCGTTAAGCTATGTTAAGCATAAATGAGGATGGGAGATAGAATTAATTTTCCAAACTCCCTCTTAATCTGAGTTTTACTTTTGATATGTAAAATATTTCCATTCAATATCTGGGCAACAAGCATTTCAGGAGATAACAATCAAGTAGCCGTGCTCACTCAATCTCAAATGCCTAGTTAGGGCAGTTGTAAGGTTTCAGTGCTTAAACAGCAATTTTCAGAAGCAAATACCAGAGATAATACAAATCATTTTAACCCTGATTTCACTTCAAGGGATTTTAAAATACAGTACTGACCTGATATATTTTGTGGGCATGTAGTGTTGGAAGTGGTAAAATGTAAGACATTTAATCTAAAGATTCAATTTTCCCTAAAAAAAAAAAAGAAAGAAAGTAAAAGGAAGACATTGTAATAGGAAAAGAAAAACAGGAAGCAGTAGCAACTAGGTAACTTAAACAGAGACTCAAAACTAAACATCCATTAAAAAAAGCAAATACAAAAAGCATAATCCTACTAGGTATAGTTAGCTTGGCACAGTGAAGACTAATTTAAGACACAAAAGACAAACTGTGTAATAAATAGGGCCACAGTTGTAAACTGTCATTTTCTCTTCCTAAGACATCAAAATTGCACTCTAGTTGTGTTGGGAAGCAGCAGAGTTTCCAAGAAGAGCGGGTAGGAACAGCTGTACAGGCCAGGTGTAATTTGTACATTTTAAAAAGTTATAGTTCTACAATCCCAAGGGGGTAGAAGTGACAGTCACTGAGTGACTGATACTATATCCTCTTCATACTTCAATTACTTTCAACACCTGACAATGAGAAAACAAGAGGGAAAATTTTTTAGTTTTACAAAACTCATGTTTGAGACAATCATGAAGGAAATAAAATATGCCAACAGTTTATGAACATTTTAGCCAATAGCTTTGACCACTTTTTAAAAAAATGGCAATATTAAATAATTTGATTTCTTCTTTAATTTATTTCTTAAGTGGAATTGTTTATGAACAGAACAATGTTTAAAAGTTCAATCCTTTGGGGCTGAGATTGTGGCTCAGCAGTAGAGTGCTCGCTTAGCATGTGTAAGGCCCTGGGTTCCATCCTCAGCACCACATAAAAATAAATAAACAAAATAAAGGTATTATGTGCAACTACAACTGAAAAATATTAAAAAAATAAAATAAAAAGTTCAGTCCTTTATGTTTTTTCCTCCTCAGTAGAGCTAGGAATTAACTGAACTATATTTGTTTAGAAATTAGAAGGTTGGCTAATTTTTAAAGCAATATACAGTCATTAGCCCACTCTGGTTTTTTGTTTTGTTTTTTTTTTTTCAGTACTAGGGGCCATCTATCACTGAGCTACACACCCAGCCCTTTTCATTTTTTATTTTGAGACTGACTCCTGCTAATAAGTTGCTGAGGCTAGTCTCAAACTGTGATCCTCCTGAGTTGCAGGGATTACATGCATGAACCACACTTGGCCTGGTTAGTGACATTCTTAAATCAAGGACTACTAACCAGCAACTAGATGTCACATACATGGTAGCTGTTAAAAAAAAATGTGGGGAGAGAGGAATGGAGGGATAGGCATAAACAAAAACATAAAATGATAGGAAAAGAGATTGGGTAAAATAAACAATTATAGTAGTTGTTCTCTGGAGCCATCTTCATACTAAATCTCTATTTATGCATTTAGCTAAAAATTGTTCAAAGTGTGGTCCAAGACATAAGACGTACCATGTAAAACTGAGAATTAAGGGTATTAGTATTATTAACATTGTCATCTTACCCCCAAATAAATACAATGTTTAAAAAAACTTATTTTTGGTTACCAGGGATTGAACCCAGGGGCCCCCAATCACTAAGCCACAACCCACAACCCCTGCCCTTTAAATTTTTTTTTAATTTGAGACAGGGTCTTCCTAAGTTGCTTAGGGCCTCACCAAGCAACTGTATATGATATTTGAAGCTTCATACTTCAAATATCATATACAGAAATTTCAGTTTTGGAAAATAACAAATATGAAAAAAAATTATTATATCTCATTAAATTTTCAAGAAAAGGGAATAATTATAAACCATGGCATACTCATTAGAGAGAATACCAAGAACTATTACAAATGATCCAATGTTAGGTTTAAAAACAGTAAGAACTCAAATTTGTATAGTATGATCTGAACTAAAAAAAAAAAAAGACTGGAAGAAACCATACTAAGTTCCTTCTATAATCATGTAAGGAAAAAATGACAGTAATATAAATTAAAAAAAAAAAAAGTCCAAAAGTCTGTTTAACAACCAATAGCTCAACACTTCCATGTGCAGCTATGATTTCAAAAGTCAGATATAAATTACAAACCTTTGAAGATGTGTAAATGTTTATACTTGTTTGCCTCCTCCTCCTCGTACAGCCACTGGCTGACTATTCTGAACAAATGCACCTCCTCCACGAATTGCACTTGGATGAGTTGGAGAAGCTGCTGGATGTTGCCCAGGACGAATAGGTTTAGCTATTAAGAAACACAAAAACTGACTTAGAAAAAAGCTTAACACATGACTGCAGTGACTATTTAGGTCTCTTTTTCCTTCTGAAGAATTCCCACTATATTTTGCCTTTTTGTTTTTTTGATTTCTCTCTTTCTGAACACATCCTTTTCTCCAGAACCTATACAATCCTTACTTAGCTCCTTAAAACTTTTATTCCTGCAGCAGTAATTACTCTGAAACATGAAATAAACACTGATGGCTTATTTTCTTGTGATTTTCTTTTTGCTTTAATAATATTTATCTATACAGTTTCTCATAACCCTAACCATTCTTGCTTGCATATCTACTTATTTATCTACTTGTCCTAGTTATGTAGTTATTTCTCATTTCCTTCCTAAAGGTATCACCCTGTTGAGCTATAAACAAAAGACAAATACTACCATGAGAAGACATAAAATTTCAGATCATGTTCAAGTACACAAAAGCATTTATACTTCGAAGTATTCATAGCTTAAAGGTTTTCAGTATGTTCTACTAACCAATCTGTGCAGAATGCCCTCTTCTGGCCATATTCTTTGACCTGACTGCTTCCTTTATGCGATCTACTTCTTGCTGATAACGTTTACGATCACGAGATGCATTTTCTTTGGCTTCTTTCAGTGCTGACTCCAAAGCTTTCACTCTCTCGGCTGTAGCTCTAAGTCGCTTCTCTAACTTAGGAAGTTCACAGCGAAGATCTGCATTATCCCGTACCAACTAAGGTACATAAACAAAATACAGATTCTAGCTTTAACAAAATGGTTTAAGAAAATAAGAGAATTTCAAAATTTCTCTTTAGAAAAGAAGTAAAACTACATTTTCTGTAAGGTTTTTCCATTTAGCTAATTGAATTTAAGCAGCAACATGCAACATTATAAACATTCATACCTACTTACACATATTTCTCCCAAAGATATACTTTCATTTAATTTGGGGGAAGAATGGATTGTTCCTTTCTCCTACTAGGCAAAAACAATAAAGTACACATAGTGATCGTGCATAGTGCTTTCTTCAGTGTTCATAAGGTGAAATGAATATCCTTTTAGGATATTAAAGCACAAGTAAGTATAAACTTAGTGTGTCCCTTAGTTAAGTATTGAAGATAAGTTTATCTTACTCTGGTGCTAGATAGCAATAAAGTTAAAAAAAATGGAGTGTGTTCAACTTTTTAATAGTAATTTAAAATCATTTATCAAGCCATAATTTTAAAAATCAGGAAAAAACCCCACAGAATTATTTAAAAAAAGAAAAAAAAAAAAAAAGACTGCCTCATTATTTTAGATAGCAGGAGAGTAAATGTAAAAAGACCAAAAATGGGGATGATGATTCTATTTTAACTACAAATACTCACCTACCAAAAATTACTATAACGAAATAAAGAAAACTGACAGATCTAAAATCCTGCAGGAGAAATAAGAATACATGTTTTCAATGGCCTTGGCTGATATTAGGGTTGTTAATATGGCAGTCTTTAGTGGTTTCTTTTTTATAATCACTTAATACAACGATGGAATAGCTCAGGGTATAAAAAATTTCTTACGACTCTGAAAGATTAAAATACTTTGTACTCCTGTATTTCAATCTTAAAATCTGTCACCACAAAATAAACTATTACCTGTTTGTGTACTTTAGTGAGTTGTTCAAGATTATTTTCAAGAAAGGAGATTTTTTGCTTTTGAGCAGCACTCCCTCCGGTGTCATCAGAATCGATCTCGGCACTCTGAGAAAAGAAGTTTGATCAATACTATGAAAAAATTTAAAATCCCCCCCAAAATCTAAGCCTATCTACAAAACATTTATATGACAATGTGAAATCATTTCACCGATGAATAAAAAATAACCACCTCAGCATTATTATATTACCTTTTTAACTCTGGTAGCCAGGTCCTGAACAAAGAGCTTGCGCAGATTATGTAAAGTCTGAAGTTCTTTTGCCTTGAATTAAGAATAGCAATATTTTTGGAATTCAGTCTTTAAATTCAGGGAACACACACACACACACACACACCCCTCCCCAATTCTACTTATTTTTACATTTTTCTTACCACAGTCTCTTCCAAACCCTTCAGGTCTTGTCTTGCTTGTTCTCGTCTATCTTGCATAATACTACAAGTAGAAGAAAGTATTTTTTCAAGTTTGATTCTATAAATTCTAGTTTATTTAATGCAAGAGCTCAATCAAAATATTTTGTGAAAGAACTGATCTTAAATCCAAATAAATGAAATATACTCTAAGTTTATCCATATTGTATTTTCCAAAGAAATTTTTATGCTTTATAACCTTTTACCTGGGAGGAGCAATCATTGGGGACTGGATCCAGGGGCTTTACCGTTGTGCTCCATCCCTAACCCTTCTTATTTTTTATTTTGACATAGGGACTCCGTATGTTGCTTGGGGACTCACTGAGTTGCTGAGGTGGGCTTCAAACTTGCAATCCTCCTATCTCAGCCTCCAGAGTTGCTGGGATTACAGGTATGTGTCACCATGCCCAGAACTTTATATTCTTTTAAATCGATAATTTTCACTTTGAAATATGCCATATATGTAGTATACTGCTACTTGACCAGAATGATACTGATTAACTGGTAATTAAAGAGATTATAAACTGTCCAAAATTAACATTTTAAATTGAAATTATTCTTAGCAAAATTATGGCTGTAATTCAGCAGAATATTTATAAAATCTTCTCTGAACTGGTTGATGGTATAACAATCTCAACACTAATTCACTGTAAATTGTCTTAGAAACTCAAGATACGTGAAAAATTATAGCCACAAGTTTTTTATCTGCTCAGATTCTGGAAAGCTAAGTATTAACTCAGTAAATGAGAAAAAGTCAACAGTGAAAACCTGTTTGAAAATATAAGGTTAAAATAATAATTTTCCTTTAATAAAATCAAATTTGACAAAATGTCAGTTTTTGAGGTAGGTATTAAAATTTTCTGTTACTGTCATGTTTTAGGTTTATTTTTATAATGGCTCCTGAAGTAATATGACAACAAAGAAATCGTAAGTAGGTTGATAACAGGACTCTAAATCTTGACTATACTGAAATATAACATTGCTTTCACTGAAGTACAAGGGTATATTGCAAGCTTTTACACATAAATCAACTCAGAAGACTGATATTATCTACATAACATCTACAGTTTTATTTCAAAATTTTAATGAAAACAATTACTCACGTAAGTTCATGTAATTTTCTGCTCTTTTCCTGATCTGTAGCTTTCAGCTTCTCATGTTCTACTCTTAGACGTTCCTGCTCTAACATCATTTTCTGGTTTTGGCTGACAAAAGAAAAGAAACATAAGCTCAATTTCAGTTTTCTGGATGCCATTGTCACAATTTTTTGAAGTCTAAAATTATATAATTACAATCTTCAAAAATCCAAGGCCTCCCCTGTTATCCCATGAGGGCAGAAAGGAAGGGGGACATGCCTAGTTAGAGCCATATTATATTTTTCATATTTTAATTTAATGATTTTATTCAAGAAATCCCAATTCCTGCTTCCATTACGCATTAATACAACACCTACATGTCCCAAATTTGTCATCATTTTGTTTTTCACTCTCCTACAGTTCCTACTTAAATGGTTGCAAACCTCTAATGTATAGAGTCTATGGATATGAATCTGGTTATGGAAGTAGGCAAAATATATTCTATATAAACTGAGATGACAATTTCTACTGAAACATTAGCATTTTAAAACCCACCATTCCCAGGTAAGACTGTTCTCAAATGACTCAGAAATTATCTATTTGTAATAATGAGTTTAACCTAGATTTTTTTTTTTTTTTGTCTTTTTACTGAATATTTAGATAAAATGACCTAAATTTTCAAGAATTTGACCAGGAACTTAGAAGTTTTACTCATAAGTGTGAAAATTCCTTATTTTCCAAGTAAAAAATCTATAGGTTACTAAGACTGTCAGTTGGAATTAATTATTTCATCCTGCTTAAACAGCCACCGTTTATGAATTAATTTATTCTAAGAAAGAAACAGTATAATACTTACTCTTGAAGATCAGTTATAAGTTTTTCCTTTGCCTCAACTTCATCTCTCAAACTACTGATTTGTTTTTGATGAGTTTCTCTGTGACTCTGGATTTGTTGTTCAACAGCTTGCTAACATTTTCAGAAAAAAAATAAAGATATTAAAAATGAGACTAACAAAAACTATTAATAATGATGGATTAAAGCCATTAGAATCAAATGTAACATCAGACTTGCCTTAACTTCATTTGCAGTCTGAACCTTATTTAAGTGCTCTTTTTCCATCTCATGGACTTTTTCTGTTTGGGTAAGGAAGGAAAAAAATGAAATAAACCTTCTAGTTTCTCACTAAGCCAAGGACACAAATGGGTTGTGTTATATTTTTCTTAGCAGTCCTCCAAGCTTAATGATATGTTGACTAGTACCCTTAGTTATATCCATTGTGCTGATAATATGGAAGGGAAATGAAGTAGTCTCTCAAATCCCTATATTAAGATTTAAACACATACATGCGCACATACATACTCTCTTTCTCTACATAACTTTGTGGGACATTCCTAGATTGGCCATTTATATATTCTAACACAATTTAAAAAAATATTTTAAAGTCATGTTAAAGTATTATGATTTGCTTATCATTCCAAGTTATCCATATTCCTACCATTTTCTTTATAAGTATACAACAATTACATTAAAGTAAGAAAGGATTAATATAGATATAACTCATAGATAATTAATTGAAAGATAATACCTTGTGCTCGGAGCTGGACTAATTCTTCACTGAGACAATCAACAGATTCTTCCAGCTGTCTTTTCTTTTGCTCCACATTTTGAAGGTATTCAGTCAATGACTTAATTTTGGCTTCATGCTTTTGAGAAAAAAATATATTGATATGAAGTGGAAAAACTATCTTCATGCACACATTTTGTTATGAATATTTTCAAGGAAATAAGTTTTACTAATATATGTAAATGTATGATAGATCTGAAGGTATTTCACCCTAGAATGTTCAGGTACCAGATTTAAAACATTAAATGGTTACCTGTATAGCTATGCCAGTTGTGAACTAAAGCAATGAAAGACTGCAATATAATATTCTTCTCACTACCTCCATCTAATGTCATCCACTTCCCTCTGTGAATAATTCCTATCTTGGTGAATGACTCCATTACTCAGCAGCCAAACTGGAAAACTGGTCCCCTGCAATCCTGCCCATTCTGAAATTCTTCTAGTCTTCAATGGTCACAACAGTCATATCTTTAAATATACTTACTGTATATACATATTGGCAAATATAAACCAGTTAAGTCATTCAAGTTATTATACTATAGTGAGATTAGGTAAAAAACTTGACTAAATTAAGCTTTTGATTTAGTTACTGACAATTTGATTTAGTTACAGAAGCACAATTTATATCTTTGTTTAAAAAATAAAGAAATTTTGTTCTGTAACACACATACCTGAGAGATACGAAGCTGGCATGCTGCTAACTCCTTTTCATTTTCTTCCATTTTTTTGTTGCTCTCAGTTTGTGTGCTTTCTAATTGTTTGCAGCGTTTCACCATTGTTTTTACTTCTGACTTCATTTTGCTAATGTACAGTCTTGCAACAGTGAACTCTTCATCTATCATACCAGTTCCCTCAGGTTGCTGTGAGATAAAAGTGAAATAAAAAGTTAAAGCCCAAAATATTCAAGTATGTGTTTTTCCTATTAGACTTGAAAGTGTGCAATTTTTAAAAAATTACACTTTTAATAAAGGGCAAGAGCTTACTTTTTCCTTTCCTACTTTGAACCCTGAAATAATGTTAATCTATGCCTACAAAACATAAAAAAAGAATATAAACATAAACACACTGATGCATTATGCCTCTTTCAACTTCTGTGTTTCCTCTTCACAGGACCTCTTCTGTAAAATCATTAATGTGCAACTTAAGTTTAAAACTTAATAAGGGTGCTTAGGGAGAGAAAGGAAGACTTTTAAGCTTAATAAGGAGGAACCATGGTAACTTTTACAGATTTTATTACAAAATTATTAGTGGAACTTGGAAAGGAAGAAAAAAATTCTTTTTTCGTTTTTTGGGTTTTGTGGTTGTTGATGATATGAATGTCAAGAAAAACTCCTGGAACTAATAAGCGATTATAGTAAGATTGCAGGATACAAGGTTGATGTATAAGTAAACCGTTTTCCATATCACCAATGAATAACTAGAATTTGAAATTAAAAAATACAATGTCATTTTCATTAGCACCAATGGAATAGAAAACACAAGATAATATTGAAGTGTAAGTCTAACATAATATGTAGAAGATCTACATATAGAAACACCAAACACTGATGAAAGAATGTATTCCCACCAAAATCACAGAAAGCTATTTTGTGAATATTGACACACTGACTTTGAAATCTGTAAGTAGAGTCAAAGATCCTGAATAATGAACAGAATGCTAAAGAAGAACAAAGACTGACACTAAAGATTTACTGTAAAGCTTCAATAATCAAGATAGTAGAGTAGTCTCCCTTTCCTAGGGAAATAAAAATATATTCCACACATGTCTGAATCCAGATATTACTTAACTTTGTATGTGCCAAGTTTTTTCCTATAAATATATACCTATGATAAAGTTTAATTTATACAGTGGGCATAGTAAGAGATTGACAACAACAGTAAAATAACAATTATAATTATATACTGTAAAAAGTTACTCAAAACTTATGGTTTAGTTATGAAAATTTTTACTTAATATTTTCAGACTATGGTTTACTGCAAGTAACTGAAACTTTGGAAAGCAAAACCATGAAGAGGAAGAGACAAAAGTATTGACAAAAGAAAAGATAATTGCGTCAATGGAATAGCAGAGAGATCACAGGAACAGATCCACACAAATATAGTAAATAAGATCTCTAACAAAAGATAGTCTTTTAAACAAATGGTGCCATAACCACACATCCACACACAAAATAATGAAACCTGATGCAGATATTATATAAGTTAAAAAACTTAACTCTGAATGGATCACAGACCTGAATGTAAATACAAAACTAAAAAATTTTTAGACGATAACAAAAGAGAAAATATAGGTGACCTTGGGTTTGGGGGTAAATACTTAAATATAATAAAAAAAAATGCAATCAATGAAAGAGAAAAAAAGGTTAATTTGGAATTCATTAAAATTAAAAATTTCTGCTCTGTAAAAGACACTGTTAAGAGAACTAAGACACAGACTTAAGAAGTATTGTAAAACACTATTTGATAAAAGACTCATAATCAAAATGTACAAAGAATTCTGAAAATTCAACAAGAACCCAAATAACCCAACTACAAATTAAAATAACAATGACCTAACCTTATACATTAAGAAAATAGCTAATATCCAAAATAATAATAATAATAATAATAATATTAAATGATGGTGAGGATCTGAAACAACAAGAACTCAATTAATTGCTGGGAGGAAGGCAAAATGCTATAGCTATTTTAGAAGACAGTTTGGGAGTTTCTTACAAAGTTAACAAACATATAATCCAGCAGTCACATTCAAAATCACACTGCTGGATATTTTTACCCAATTGAATTGAGAACCTTGTCCATAGAAAACCCTGCACATGAATGTTTATGGCAGCTTTACTCATAATTCAAAAAGTAGAAGCCACTGAGTAGGTGAATAGATAAGTTATTCATAAATTGTAATATTATTCAGTAATAAAAGAAATGAACTACTGATGAAAGAATCACAAATGAAAGGTAGTGTGAAAAGCTTACAGTGTGATTTCAACTATATAACATTTTGGAAATGAGAAACACGGATCGTAAAAACATAAGTGAACTCCAAGGTCTTAGGGGTAGGGATGAATAGGTTAAAAAAAGCATGGGGGTAGTGAAAGTATTCTATTTGATACTGTAATGATGGAGCTATCATATACAATTTTTTATTCATACAAATGTAAAACATAAAGACTGAAGTGTAATATGGAAAAAAATGTAGAGGCTAACAGGAAAATATAAATGTGTAAATGGTACCATTACTGAGGATTCTCATTTTTAAAAATTTTTATCCAAGTACCTATTTGCAAGACTGACTGACATTCAAAACACTATAATGGCATAGTGAATAAAGCAGTCAAGTAATCAGGGAACCTATACTCTATCTCTGGCTCTGCCACTAAACATAAATTACTTCTATTTATTTCTCTATCATTTTTTCACTTAGATTATGATTACTTGAACACAAAATGGAAAGGTTTTTTTTTCTTAACAGAAGTACTTTAATACATAAAACAAATTTTCAACAACACCTTTCTAGTGTTTAATGAAAAGAAGTCAATCTTTTCCATTCCCAGAGGTTCCTACATATCTCTATATCTCATATAACTTCACGATAAACAGGATAAGACAGAATGTTCAGACTGATGGTAAAGAGAGTGTAAAGTAAGTCACCCATAATTTAATAATACCTTTCCTTTGTTTCAAAGGTAAATCAATGAAGAAATGACCAGATACAAGAAAGGTCACAAGAATCCTTGCCTTCATCAACAAAAATTGACTTTAAACAATAAACAAATGTAAAGAATGTGTGTTCCATATCAAAAACCTTTATCTTCATTTCTAACTCTTGTTAAACTTATAGGCTCTCACTATAAACCCAAGTACAAGCTCATTCTCCATGTTATTATAATTAGATTTTTCTTTTTTTTGCCGGGGCGGCGGCGGGGGGGGGGGGGGGGGGGGAATACTAGAGTGTTAAGGTTTGGAATGTGGTGTTCCCCTAAAGCTCACATGTGAGACAATGCAAGGTTTGCAGGAGAAATGACGGGTCATAGTCTTAACCTAATCAGTGATTTAATCCCTGATGGTATTAACTGAGAGGGAACTGGAGGAAGGTGGGATGTGACTGGAGGAAGTGGTTCACTGGGGGTGTGGCTATAAGGTATATATTTTGTATTTGGAAAGTGGAGTCTCTCTGTTTCCTGATCACCATGTGAGCTGTTCTCCTAGGCTACACTCTTCTGCCATAATGTCCTGCCTCACCCTCAGCCTGGAGGAATGGAGCTTGTTGTCTATGGATTGAGACCTCTGAAACCGTGAGCCCCTAAATAAACCTTTCCTCCTCTACAGTTACTCTGGTCTGGCATTTCAGTCACAGTAGCGAAAAAGCTAACTAAAACATGGGGACTGAACTCAGGGGCACTTAACCAGTACCACATCCCTAGCTCCCCCTTTTGATGTATTTTATTTAGAGACAGGGCCTCACTGAGTTGCTTAGTACATCGCTAAATTTCTGAGGCTGGCTTTGAACTCATGATCCTCCTGCCTCAACCTCCCAAACCTCTAGAATCACAGGCATATAATTAGGTTTTAATCAAAAAAGTAAGGTCCAAGGAATAACTACAACAACATACAAATTTTTCATATTATGTGCATATTTTTGCACTTAAAAAAGATAGGAGCCAGATGCAGTAGCTCACATGGATAATTCCAGTAAGCTGAGAGACTGAGGCAGGAGAAGCCCAAGTTCAATGCCAGCCTGGGCAAATTAGCAAGACTCTTTCAAAAATTAAAAGGGGCTGGAGGTAAAGTATCATTGGATTCAATCCCCAGTACTGAAAACAAAACATCAACGACAAAAGATTATTTGAAGGGGGCAAAAAAAAGGGGCATAAAGTATGGCAGATTTTTTAAAACTGATAACTTTAGGAGGGGGGGATAGGGATTGAAATCAAATTCTCTCCATGTATGATTTTATCAAAATGAATCCAACTACTATGTATAATTAGAATACTCAAATTAAGAAAAAGATAACTCTAAAGTTCATTATTATTCTCTGTACTATTGTATATTTAAAATATTTCATACTAAAATTTTTTAAAAGAATGAAATACTCATCTTTTATTTAAAGCACTATAGTTTCTTTCCTGAGCTAATCTGTTCCAAAGACTTTCACCTATGGCAATTTATTAAGATTGATTTCTAAGTGTGAAATCCTTTCACAGTAGAAGAAAAAGCCAAACGTGAGGTTTGACAAGTGCTACTTACTGAAGATTTTATTTGGATAACCTCATTCTCTTTTTTTTCCCCATATTCCATCTACCACACATGGCTGTTTTAAGAATAAGTATGGGTATGAAATGTATGTAAAAATTAAGTAGTAAACAAAAGTATGAGTTACATATAGATTATACTTGTTATTGTATTTACCTTTACATCATTATTTCCCACGGCAATTCCTATTTCTGCAAGGTCTTTCAGTAAAGATGCCATCATCTCAGCTGCTCGTTTCTTCTGGTGGTTGGTCATTTCCTTAAGTTTCTGAAGCTCAGCATCTATACTTGCTAAAGTTGCCTAACCAGACCAAAAATAAAAAGTATAGTTAAACTATTAAATGAATATAAAATTCAAATATTCACAGGTATTTCAAGTTTTTCACCTAGCTCTTACTAAACCATGTATTTTCTGCTTCATGTTCCTGAACTATCCTGAATACTGAGCCAGCTCCCATCTCAAGCTTAATATGTACTTTAGACTTATAAACTATGTCATAAAGCAACTGCATTATATTTCACTGAGATAAAGTACCTACTCTTAAATTCACTAGAAATTTTTGAGACTGGATGTTTTCTGCCTAGAAATGAGACACATCAAAATTAACAAACTAACCTTATAATCAAGCTTACAGTTTTCTATATGGTTAATGTGCTCTCCTCATCCACTCTCTATATACTTATCACTTAAAAGAATACACTTAAACCCAGGATTTTGTGCATGGTAGGCAAAAACTCTACCACTGCACTACATCCTTATCCCCCATATTACTACTTTTGATACATGATGCAATTCAATAGGTGTTAGTGATGAAGTAATTGTATTACTTGACTTTAATGACTATAAGTTAGCTATTTTACCAGGTACAAAAATCACCAAATATTGAAAATTATAACCCATTTTGGCTCACTTTAAAGCTCTTATATCACAGATCAGATAATGCATTTTTAATGTGACCTAATGATTTTTAGTCAATATACTTTAGTAATGATGCCATCATCTCAGCTGTTTATTTCTTCTAATGGTTGGTTATTTCCTGAAGTTTCTGAGTATCAGTACAGTGTATGTTCCCCCACTTTCATCTACAATATGATACCAGTTTTCTTGAAAGTGTCATAACATAGTATGCTTCTACCATATATGTTTAAATTGCCTGACATTTTCTCTAACTATCAAATTATTATTAATACTGGTTAAACATGTTTCTAACTAATTATCAATGTAATGCTGACTTTAGCTCCTCAATTGAGACAATTGGAAGACTAAAACCAGTAGACAAGGACCAACTTACAGACTTCTAAGAAACTTCTGTTTTTCTACCAGATAACAATTAGGTTTCTTAGTATTAAATCAACTCAGGAAAACATTGATAATGATGTCTTCAATCTCTGTGGTACTAAATATAACTTCAAGTCAATAATTACTTTGGAGATTAAGAAGGGAAAATGAATTCATCAGGAACAAGAAAGCTTTTAAAAGTGCTACTTTGTAGAGCTCATAAACAGGGAAATTAAGTGGTGGATACTGATCCTGAGTACAACTCTAGGTGCTGATTTCTTAACAAAAAGCTAGCATTAACAACAACAAAACATAAGAAAACAGCTCATTAGTGGTGAAACTGAAACAATTAAAGCTACTTACTATTCCTGGCATCAGTATTAGAGGTTGGCAATTCTGTCCTATTGCAACAAGTAAACATCTCCATCTATTGGAGAACCATATGAAAGATTCTAATACATTGTGCTGGGAAGGCATAGGTGGTGAGTATATAATAGTGAACAAAAGGTAAATTATGAGCATTTATATATTCTTATGACTACTACAAAGAATTCACTTAAATAGCATTTTATTTTATGTGCATGTCTGTATTTGCCATTTGAAAAATCATTTAATAGCTTAACTAAAAAAAATAGGTTTCTTTCCCCCTTTATCATTTGGAATATTATTGAAGAACAACCAACATCTTCAAAAACAGAATTTAAGTTACATACTAATAGACCTTTAGGAATCCAAAGAATAATCCTCCTTCCCTACCTATACTTCTAAGGCTTCACAAACAGAGGGAATTAAAGTTGAGAGCCTTGAAAATTGATGCTTTCAATCACAGGCTAATATAGAAATAAGTTACTTAAGTAATTTTAAAATGAATATTGTACTAAGGTTTTAAGAAAGAAAATAATAAATAATAACTAAATCCTACCGATTTCTGATTCAATTCATCGCTTAGCAGTTCATATTCCTTAGTTTTGTCTTCAACTTCCTGAGACTTCTGATCATAATTGACAGCAAGTTCCTCTAAGGCCTGTAAAACTTCTTTTACTTCTTCCTTAGAGGCATCATTTTCTGCTTGAAGGCGATTCAGCTCTGCTTGCATATTGTCTTGATCCCTTCTGGTAGATGCCAAAAGCTATACGAAAAGTAAAATATCTATTTGTACTGAAATTATATAGGCTTAAAAAAAATCTATTTGCTTCATCATTGCTAAGCACAGGGAAATTAAATGTGGGTGCTAGTAAGCATATCAACATTCATTAATTTAACAGATTTACTGAATGCCTACTATGTCTAGGCACTTTTCTAGACACTGTGGCAAACAGGAAAGCAAATATTAAAATAAAGACATTGGCTCTGAAGAATCCAGTAAAAGAGAAGACCATCATATAAATAAGTGCAATACAAGACAGAATCTAAGAGCCATAAAAGAGGAAAGGGACAAATAAAGTGCTTGATAGTGTAGGAAAGGGGGATATTTCTCTAAGGAATTCATAAAAAGTTGGCTAAGAATAGGGAGATTTAAGTCACGTGCAAATTAGAATTGATAGCAGACAAAGGCATTCTAGACTTAAGAACAGTATACACAGACACAAGAAGTTATATACTCGGAAGAATTAGTTAAAAGTTTTAGACTTGTTTTGGGTGAAACAAGGAGTAGCATCAGTGCCATGCCTCAGAGAACTATGGCATCAGCTTATAAAAATTTAACTGGAAGGACAACAAGAGACTAGTCAGGAAAATACTACAACCATGCAGGTAAGAAGCTTTTCAAGGGACATCTGGAAACGTGTATGAGTGGTTCAGAGTTGTTTACAATGCTGGGGATTGAACCGAGGACATTGTACTTCCCGGGAAAGCACTATACTACTGAGGTACATCCCCAGCTTTGTGAGATTGTGTCAATAATGGGAGCTAATTGCATTTAGGAATAGGGATGAGGGATGCTAAATGTCCTATATAATGCACAAGACAAAAAATTTATCCATGTCAAATGCCACTTTGAGAAACAATGCTACAGTTGAAATAAGCATAAAAATGAACTGACCACAACACATGACATTTTCAATTCCCCACAAAAAGAGTCATACTCAAATTAACACTTTAGACCTGTACCTTGTGTTTAAATAAATGAGTGAATATAAAAAATTGTGCTTTATACATTTGTTTCCTCATGTACTTTTTATTGAGGGAGATTAAAAAGATCAACAGCAATGTACTTCCAACACAAAGTGGAGGATAATTAAAACAATCCAATAGATGTTTGCTAAAGAATGAATATTTTTAAAAGATCTCTTCTCCCCTCCAGGTTAGAGGAAATTCAAACTTCAAAATACGATCTTTTATGTAATTCCTTCACCTTTTATATTAAAAGGATAAAGACCAACTGTAAAGCTTTTCTGGAAGCATTATGAAGGGTATTTAACTCACCTCTTCCTGATCTAACATTTGTGTCTTCAGTTTTTCTACCAGTTGGCTCTGTTGGTTAATTTCTTCATCCTAGGATTTTAAAAGTATCCAGTTAACAAAGTAGCTCACAACTTGGTTCTGTTTCCCAATATAAATTTAAAAATGAATTTTCCTCAAAATATTTCAAAACCATCTCTCTAAATTCAACATAGCTTACGTCTTAAGAAAATTTTGAAAGAATGTCTTTCAATCATTGGTATAAAAGTCATTCATTAAGTACTTTAAAGTCTAAAAAAAATAAAAGGTTTAAAGTTTTTATTGAAAATGGTCACGTAGCCCACTTACACATGCCATCTGTTTAAAATACATTAAAAAAAAAAAACTGTGTGTGTGTGGGGGGGGGGGGTGGGTGCAGTGGGGGGGTGGGGTGACTGGGGACTGAACCCAGAGGGCTCTCTACCTCTGAGCTATACCCCTAGCTCTTTATTTTTATTTTGAGATGGTGTCTCATGCAACTGCTGAGGCAATCCTCCTGCCTCAGTATTCTGAGTCACTTGGGATTACAGGAGTGCACTATCACACCTGGTTAACCAATTTTTTAAGGTTAAAAGAAATCAATGAATGTGTATAAATATCATAAAGACCCTTAATACTGAAATTTGAAAAAAAATTAGAATAAAAATACCTATGTTAGTAATATTCTGCGAACAAAAAAGATCTAAAATGAACAATGCCTACCTTGTCATCAAGTTGTTTATACAATTTAGCAATTTCTTCTTCACACTTTCTTCTTTCACCATCAGTAAAAGTTCCAGTAACTCCAATTGTGGCTGCTGGTTTATCATTGGTAATATTTATATCCTTATCCACTGCAAAAGCTTCCAAGTTAGCTTTCTCTTTGTCAAACTGTTCATCAACAGGCACTGTTTCCCCTAAAATGAGACAATAAAATGGTTAATCAAAATCCACCTACCTAAAACTAATTTCAATTTTATTCATTTTTACTTTCCTTCTTGACTGTATATTTTCAAATAACATGTCTTTAAGTTCACATATTCTTTTGCTTTGATCAATTCTGCTGTTGGTGTTCCTCATTGCTTTTTTTTTTTTTTTCATTATTTGTTGTATTTTTTAGCTTTAGGATTTCTGGCTGATTTTTAAAAATTTATATCTGCTAAAATTTTTCATTTTGGTCACTTACTGTTTTCATTGGACTCTCTCTCTCTGTATTTTCCTGAAATTTCCACAGCTTACGACAGTTAATTCAAATTCTTTGTCAGGTAGCTAATATTTCCCTTTCCTCCCTTCTTACTTCCCTCCTTTTTTTTTCTCCCCCTCATGCCTTCCCTCTCTTTTGGTACTGGGGACTGAACCCAGGGGCATTCTATCACTGAACTTCAATCCCAGCCTAAGTTGCTGAGGCTGGACTCACACTTGCAATCCTCCTGCTTCAGACTCTCAAACTGCCAGGATTACAAACATGCACCACTATACCCAGCATACCATTTCTTTAGAGTTAGTCACCAGCACTTATTTTATCCCTTTGGTGATGCCACCTTTCCCTGAATGTTCTTGACCCTTATGGCTGTGCTTTGAGGCATTTGAAATAGCTACTTATTTCAGTCATTGCAGATTGGACTCATCTGGAAAAGCCCTTTTACTGTCAGCCCACCCAGAAATTCTGGGTAAGCTGTATGGAGTAACTGTATAGTCTGGGGCCATTAGGGTGGTTTAGTGTTAGGATAGGTTGTAAGACTGGGGCTGCAGTAGCTGCCATGTTGCTGAGGACTGTCCAGAGTCTGGGCTTTTCCACCTGACACTGAGATGATCTGAAGGCACAGTCTGTAAGTTACTCCTTGGAGTTAGGGCAGTGGGAGCCTGCCTACTGCTGGGTTTTAGTGTCCTGGGTTCCACTGAAAAATTCTGTGCTCTCTTTCTCCTAAACACTATGATATGTGGGGCTGGGAAAGAGATGACACAGGTAAGATAATATTGTGCTTTCTATCTTCTTCATTAAATCTTTTCCTAGTTTTATGCTATAAACAGGTATTGTGATTTCACCTGGTTTCTTAACTCTCATGGTTGTTGGACAGTTATTCAAGATTCATGGTTCTGCAGAGAATGACTGCTAGCATCCTATGTCACCATCTTGCTCTGTCCCTCTCTTACTCAGTTTTAAGAGCTATTAGCAACTTTCTTTTCTGCCCAGTCCCTGAGATTCTAATATCTGGAATTATCTTTGATCCTCCTCTATTCTTTGAAATTCAGTCACCAAATCTTGTCATTGTATTGTCTCCACTCTTATTTAGGCACCCTGTTATGTTGTGACTTTCTGATTAGCACCCATGCCTATATAATTACTATGTCAGGTAAAACCAAAATTTAATATAAGATTTATTTTCCTTTTTTATTTGAAGACTCCTAAGTATTTCAAAACTTAAAATGAACATGCTTTGCAATTTTTATTTACATTTTATGTCAAAATCTCAAGTTTATAAAATAGGCCTAAATCTCTATTCAAAAAAAAAATGTAAGCAGACAAATTCTGAAGTTATTACCATTACGCCATCGGTTGAGTTCATTTTCAAGCCACTGAATGGTGTTCCTCAGGGTCTTATTTTTTTCTTTTTCTTTTTCATACTTCTTTTTCCATTGTTCTGCAGTTAACTCTACATTGACACAAACTGTATTCTTAATTGTTTTGGCCCTAAAAAGTGTAATTGGAGGGGAAAAGGATGTGACTGAAATTATTTCTCATATCTTTATGTAATATGTTTATATGGTTAAGTAACACTTCAGACTGTCCTGCTAACATGGAGTTCTCTCAGTCCAAATACTAAAAGCTATTACAAGAGTGCTCATTCTATTCACAAAACAGCTAAATTTGAGCCAGACCCAAAAATCTATGAATAGTTTTAAAAAATAAAAATCAAACACCCATTAAGTTAAAAAAAAAAACAAGTACATATATTTTCTCAAGTGATTTGCATAGTTAAATTAAAAAAGTAAATTATCACTAAAAGGTCAAAGATAAGGTCACTGCTATTGATTTTCCTAGACTAACATTCTTATAGATTATTTGAATCTGTCAAGCATGTAAATAAGCTTAATGAAGGATTATATTTGTTGGGCTTTATTATATGCTTCATATGCTCATTTGCATTAATGGTGAATATAAAGTTGCTCACATAAATTTGGCTAAAGTTAATGTTTGACTTTAAATGTCATGAAATTCAATTCAAACTTCAGCAGCCTAAATAAAATGTAGACCTAACTTGTACTGTCTCTCAATTAAAAAGTAGAGTCTAGCACATCAATAATATGCACTAATTTGAATATTAGCTATTTGACAGGAATAAATATAATAAACAAAGGCCTATCTCCATTTAGGCCTTAGATTTTTTAAAAATTATTTATTTATTTATTTTTAGTTGATGGATCTTTACTTTTTTATATATATGCAATGCTGAGAATAGAACCCAGTGCCTCGCACATTCAAGGCAAGTGCTCTACCACTAAGCCACAACCCCAGCCCTAGGCCTTAGATTTCTTAACAACAAACCTTTGACCAAATAGAAGTGTAGATTTTGTTTCAGACTCATTATATGATGATGGAGAGCAGCAAATAACAATAGTGGTTCTACAGTTGCCACCTAATGAATCTTGAAGAATTCTTGTCATTTTACTGTCTCGATATGGAACATACGTCTATATTCAAAAACAAAACACAGAAGATTGATGGGTTTCTATATAATAAGTACGTTATATACTACTCTAAATAATTAATCAGTTAGTTTAACTGCTTGATATTAAGATGGGAACTAGGAAATGTACACTAATAATATAAATTATTAAAAGATGACTACATTATACATATTAATTTTCTCTTACTCCCAAGCATAAATCTATAGTTAAATAATTCCCCATAAAATAACAAGAAAATTAAAAACATGTATACTCACACTACCCTCAGCCAAAGCAGAAATGACATTTCCAAGTGCAGAAAGTGATTTGTTAATGTTCTTAGCTTCATCCAGAACAGCACCTTCAGCTCCAGTTTTACTAACCTATACATAAGACCCAAAATAATTTAAAAAAATTAAAAGTTGAAGATGATTTTCTTTGAATTTCAAAAAAACTCATATAGGTCATCAGTAATCAGAAGAGAAAAAAAATGAAAGACTCATGATGCTACTTGTCAAACATTTAAGGTGCTCCTATTTTTTGAGTTCTACTTTCAAGAACTTTATCAAACAACTAGTTGTGTAAGAATATGATTAAAGAGACATCAAATTTTATTTTTGGTTTGTGTTCCTAAAGATAACTAATTGACATGCAAATTTGTATTTGAATAATTTGCTAGTCTCTTTGCTACACTGAAAACGAAATCTCAACTTTACTAAGCATAATATTGATGCTATAATTTAAAAAGCAGCTTAAACATACTATATAAGAAAACTTGCTTCTTTTAAAAAATGTAAAATGTCTAAATACTATGTCAAAGATAGGTTAGAACAGTAAGTTATCATGTTAGCTAAATAAATGGTTTCTTGCACAATGAGAGGTAGTCTTTGAAATATGTATATAAGATTTGAGTAGAAGGGAATATATACATTATTCTAATCCAAAGAAATGAAATTACCAGAACAATAAAATAATAATGGTGACAGAGGTCCCTACTAAAACATGCAAACATTCAAATTTTAACATAAACTATAATTAGATTAAATAGGATTATAATAATGACAAACATGAAAAAGGAAAGAAAATAAATAAGCAGAGTGGACCCTTTGTATCCATACATTCAGCCATGGAAAAAACTCAGGAAAAAAAAATTCATTTGTACTGAACACATATAGAAGTTTTTTTTCCCCCCCTTGTCATTATTCTCTAAACAAAATAAAATAACTATTTATATAGCATTTACATTGTGTTAAGTATAGGTTATATGCAAACACTAAGCCATTTAATAAAGGGACTTGAGCAGCTGAGGAATTGGGTATAGGGACTTTGGAGGTTTCCGGAAAAAAATCCCCCACAGACACTGAGGAATAACTGTAGGATGAAACCAGAAAGGACTAAGAGACTAGTTTTAATGGTCAATACAGATAAAATAAATAGCAAAATTAAGAAAGGGATACCTAATAAAATGCATAATGACTTATGCTGAACAACTTTTTTTTTAAAGAGCTTTATGGCTATACATAGTAGTTAGGTTCACCCAATAAACTCATACATGCATGAAAATCAATTTCAGTTTAGGACCCCCCTTTTACTCCTGTCATCACCCACCCCTTTCTCTACTCTGCTAGACTTCTTTTTGCTCATCAATTAATTTGTATTTTATTGGTTCTTTAAACAATCAAAATATAGATTTTAAGTCAAGGTAGTACTTACTGGTTGAACCAAATATGGCCAGATAAATAGGAAACAGATAATTCAACTTACATAAGTAATCATAAAGCATTGGAGTTAAATTTTCAGATTACCAAATACAATATTATAGATTTTCAAATTATAACAATGAAACACTACATAAATCCCAATTTAAAATTTAGAAAAATGCTTAAATATCTAGAGTACATAAATTAAGACTTTACCTTTTCACTACCAGCTAAATCAACGAGATAAAGTTTTCCACTCAGCTTTTGCTCTGTTTGAGTGTTTTCTTGTTTTACATTAATAAGAAATATACTGTGACTCCTAGAACTATGTTCATTCATATCTGAAAAAAAAAATAAACAATAATAAACATGCCTTTCCTTCACTAATCAATTTTCCTAAAGCATTAGTTTATATAAGAAAAGCCTTGCAATTAATCAACTAGAAATAAATCCATTCTCATATCCTTAAGGATATAAGATTGACTTATTTCCTAACAAGTATTAATAAATTTTCTACTTACTTGTAACTGCTACATGTCTGTTGGATTTTCCTTCATCTATGGTATCCATAACTTCATCTGGACTACATACAAAACGCTCTGTGCAGCCCTGTGAAATAATTGTTTTTAAAAGTAGGTCAATATTCTTCAAAAAATTTGTTATGAGGCTATTCTAAACATTCTCTATTATTTTAATAAGTACCTTTACATAGGGAACTCGGTTTTTGTCTTCATGAACTGAAAGGTTGGTCTTTGAAACTGAAAATTAAAAATAAATAATATCATTAATATTACTCTAAACATTAGCTATGAAATAACTCCTACAATTAACAGGCTTCCTTGAACAGCCTAAAAATGTAGGTAAACGTTTAAAAATATGAAAATACTGCTCCTAAAGCAGTATTTTATATTCAATAGGAAATTCAATAGAAACCAATGCAGCAATATACAATTTTAGGTCCATTCAAACCTCATTACTCACATTTTATAAATAAGAACATTAAGTTTCAGTGATTCAATAGTTTATATACAGACAATGTTATCTAACTGACAGCTCATTAGAACTCGGGTTCTGTAACTCCCAGTTCTAAGTATTATTTAAAAAGTACTCACTAGTATATTCTTTAAATCAATTATTCTATATGTCAAAAGATATCCCCTAGAACCTCAAAAACAAAACTTTAAACGCCCATTTCCTATAATATAAGTCAATTTCATACATAACTTATTAAGAAATGGTCTCATTCTACTAAAAGTAACAGGTACTAATTAAAAATGAACAAGAAGCAAGACTTTAACTTACCATCTAGTAGGTCCCTTATCTTATCCAAATATATTTCAAAATATGAAACCTAAAGGGCAAAGAAAAAAGATCAAGCAATTCAAATTAGAAATTAGCTTATTCACTTACCCATTAAATATTTAACGAGGTCTGACTGGCAGTTATAGTCTACACTAGGGGGACAGAGTTATAAATTAATTAATGACACTTCACATTCTAATGGAAAGACATAGATTAATTTAGTTGCTTAAATATCTAAAATTAAAAGCAATTTCTATTATATATCTTCATTTAAAATAAATCAGACTAGGTAGAACAGAAAACAAGCTTTTTTACTTTATATAGAAAGTGGCTAGAGAAAAAAAGAAGGGGCTAAGGACATAGAGACTTAGTTGATTTATTTAAAGTAATCTAGTGGCATATGAATAAGAATCAAGGTTACTACCTTTCAACTATATATGGCTGAAAAAATAATTTTACTATTTTTTTGAAAAAAAATGACTCTGGTATAGACCCAAACATAATTTTCCCACAAGGATTTACCTTAATATGAAATTCCAAATTCTCATCCATGGAGTAAATATAATTAAAAATATCTTGTACTATTCTTGGAATAATACCCATACCTTCTGGATCATGAAGTTTACCCTATATGGAAAACAAAATTAGACTTCTTAAATTAGTATAAATTAAAAATGAAAACTTTCAATCTATAATTTACTTTTAATAGGATAAAAATTTGTAATAGTTATTTTTTATGTATAGCTCTACAAATACCCCTAACCCTATTCAACAATTATACATAATATCATACATCAACCTCAGAGTTTATCAACTGATTCTAGCTCTTTATCACTACATCTAGATGACCAATGCTTGTAAAATGCACACACAGAAAAGGTTTTAGATTCTTTCCATGTAAGACTGCATTGTTCCTTTTACTTCAAATCAAATTCATGCAAATGTTAGGGATGTCTTTATTCTCTATTACTTTATGAGAATGAGTATTAGAAATTACACCAAAATAAGCAGTCAACTACTTTGCTTACTACCCTCAGATAAATGATAAAAGCAGATGACCTGAACCAGTGGTAGACAATCACAGGCTGTTTTATAGAAGCAAAGCTAGAACGCACCACATCTATTATTAACAGCAGCACTGATAATTGTGACAACTTTCTTATCTGAGAAATGTTGCAGGTATTTTGGAGGGAGGGGTCAAGGAATGGAGGAAAAATTAAGTCTCTAAATAGAATAAACAACACCTAGGAATCCAAATTTTCCCATGTAATAGGGGGGTGACAGAAAATCCCTATTATACTCTAAAATGTTATCATGTACGCTAATTGATAAGATAAAGGTACATAATACTTCAAGCATAGGTTATCCCTTATTATTCAAATTCAGGAACTAATTTGATTCCAACAATGATGTTCCCTGTATATTATTTATATGAGAAAAAGCAACAAAGAATAAAAATTTAAGCATAGTAAAATAATCTCACAAATAATGAATGACTTGTTTGAACTGCAAACCATATTCAAATACAGATTATAAAGTATTACCTCCATTGTGTGTGTCTTCCCAGAGGATGTTTGTCCATATGCAAATATTGTTCCATTATATCCTTCAAGGACATCTATGAGAAAATGAGAGATTTTATGTCAGGGAATGTGTTCCTTCAGTAAGATTCATAATAAATTACTTAAGAAGGTTATAAGTCACACCTAACCTTAGTGACATATAAATCATTCTAAACAAAATCACCAACACAACTGTGTTCTTAACCCATGTATATTCAACTCTGCAATAATAAAATATTTGTAGGAAGAATGATAAGATTCAGATTTTCTTTACATTAATGTCAAAGAGTCCATCAAAGTTTAGTACAGAAAGGATTCATAAAGACATTAAAAGAAAATAAATATTTCATAATAATTTTTCTTAGTGATGATCCATCTAAGCAATTTCCTACCCTCAGACCTAAATTACTTTCTGTGATCAATTAAGAAACAAAATTTAAATTAGATTACTTGTAACCAATCATCTCAAATCAATGTATCTCAAATGTCATTACATTTGTATTCCAAAGTAATGTGACCTAAAAGAAAAAAATCCTCTACCAATTTATATACAGACATGAATTAGTTTTTAGAAACAGAATTAATTGTAATTAACTGGTGGTTAAACTTCACAAACCCAAACTTTTCTCCTTACTCCGCCCATAAAACATAACACACTCAGCCCTATCTCAAAAACAATTATCAGAATTCTTATGAAATTACAAAAAAAATCTTTTTTAATCCCAAGATCTACCATTAACATATTAAATATCTTCCACTATGAGGCTGAAGGAGATTAAGAAAAAAAAGGTTACAAACAAGGCAACCTTTAGATTTTCAGTTTCAGTGATTTTTTTTTTTTGGTTTTGATGACAAGAAAGGTACTTTATAATTGTCATATTCTCAAGGAAGGCAAAATAAAAAGCCTCTGTTGCAAATAGCAGATGGTGACAGGAGAAACTAAAAGCAGTAAGCAAGTGGATCCTTGTTTTTATTATTTCTAAAAGGAAAAGGAAACAAACTCCCAGCATCAGGCACATATAACTAGACAATAGATTTACTACAGAAGCTAATGAGAAAAAGAAGGCATCAGTACTCAGTTCCCCAGAAGATTTAAAAATTTTAAGAGATTTCAAACATTTGAAACTTTCCTTCAAAATTGGTTTTATTTTTAAGACGGGGCACAAAATCATCCCACAAAGCACATTTATGACAGATGGGATTGCAACACCTTTGCCAGTAATTTTCTACAGAAAAAATTATTTAGGAAATAAACCTTTTAGACCCATTTCAATTCACCTCCTTTATATAAAACTATTCTCAATAAGTCTATGCCACACTCCCTGCTTGAGATGTTTTAATCAATTACATAAAACCTAAGCATAAAATTTTGTTAGAACTTTAAAAGGTACTTTCATGAGATGATCTTGCTATTACCATGATAGGAATTAAGTAAATATTTGTAGGTGAATATCCATTATGATAGTATATTTATGCTATATGAAACTATGTACCATATGAGAAGTCCAGGGATAACAAATGAGATTTTAAGCATATCTTTAAAAGTTTTATATGATTATAGAGATTGACACTGAAATATTTGTTTAGTGTCCACTATGATCTAGACTTTGCTCAGGGAATAGGAGATATAATGATTGATTAGGTGATTTTTAGACATGTCATGTATTACTAAATGAGTATTTTAATCAATTAGAAGAATATAGTAGTCTTTTGTTATCCAAGAAGGGTGATTACAGGGCCTTCTACAGGTAACCAAAATGCTCACTCTTTTGTCTTCCAGAAAATGGGATAGCATTTGCATTTGACCTATGTACATCCTCTTATATACTTTAAATCATCTCTAGATTACTCATAATACCTAATCCAATGGAAATGCTATATAAATAGATATTTTATTGTTCACGAAATATATAAATCTGCTATCAACATTTTATATTTTTACTGCTTCCATTAATCATATATTTATCCACTCCTCTAATAATTTAAAAGTAAACTGCAGACATCAGTATACTTCAGTATATTTTCACTTAGATACTTCACCATGCATATGTACCTCTAACTAGAATTCAGTATTTTACGTTTTTCCTTAGGTGTGTGTATTTTAAAATATACAAATAATACTCAACTATTTGAAATTCTAGGGAACACAAAACTATAATCAGATAAAATTAGGTACTTTTAAATTTCATATGGTTCAACTTCAAAGTTATAGTATAAACGTTTGCTATTTCTGCACATGTAATGGTTTGGTCCAGGGGTCATGACTCTGGCTGGAAGGCACCATTCTCTTCTCCTTAGTCTTTGTGTATCCTTTAAGACACATTTTTGTCTGCAGAGACATATTCTTAATCCCTATACTATATTCTCAAGAAGCACAAGAGGTAAAATACATATATAGCAGACTATATGTGGAAAAATCATAAGTGGCAGGTAGTCCAGGTAGCTATGGCAGGAAACAGAAATCTCTGAAGGTTTGGTGTTACACATAGCATTCTATAAACAACTACTTAATATAGGGGCAACAAATTCATTGGACTTGCTCAGATTCAGAATTCAAAAGAGAATACAAGTGGATAAGTCTTGTTCAAAAGAAGCAATTCTACTAATGAATCTATAGAAAGATAACAGCCCCATGCATAATAATGTTATATAGTTGTACAGATATTTATGAACTGATGCAAACACGATGAAATGTCACTGACAGGGACCCAGAAAGTACTATCTGTTTTCAGCTCATTTCTGGCAACTTACCAGTCAAATCCACATCTCAGGAGAAATCGAAACTGGCCCATGATAATGCTGATCTTGCCCACCAACAGCTTCTGTGTCCTTCATCTAACTGATTTATCAATGATTGTACCAAGTCCAATTGGCCTTGTATTTAATTGATTTCCTACCTTCCCACTTCTCAAGGCACCATCTTTTTCCTTAAATCTTTCTGCATATGTATGTATGTATGTTTTTGTGATAGTAGGGATTAAATCCAGGGGCACTTTACCACTGACCTTTATCCCTAGCCCTTTTTATTTATTTGTACTTTTTAAATGTTTTTTATTAGTACAGTATAGTTATACATACAAAATAGGTGGGTTCATGTAGACATAATCTTACATTCACAGAATATAATTCACTTCATTTTAGGACCCAGTATTTCCCCTTTCAGAGTCTCACTAAGTAGCCAGGGCTGGCCTGGAATTTGTGATCCTCCTGCCTCACCCTCTCAAGTTGCTAGTATTACAGGCATGTGCCACTGTGCCCAGCTAAACCTCTGTTTAGTAGTAAATGTCACATTCACATCCTTGGCCAGGACAAGTCCTACTAGCTACCACATTCAGGCTCCCCTAAAATGGTAGAGACAACTGGGTGAAGACAAAAGGAAGTCATAGCCAGGTGACACTGTACTAATATAAATTACAAAGTTGGCATATAAAAGGAAGAAAGATAATGACAGAAACTTTCTATCCCAACACTTGTAGGGCATCTAATTTTGCAGAGTGCAAATACACTATGAGTTTCTCCCAGGTACAGTCTCAGTAAATTGAATTAACAATTTCGTCTCAGAAGACAGAGGAAACAGTAGCTGGTATCTGTTGTGTAAGAACTTATAGTTATCTCCTATTTTGCAGAAGAGAAAATGAAAGATTAGGTAACTCATCAAAAGACACAGCTAAAAAGCAACAAGAGCTTAGACTTCAATGTAGGTCTGTCTGATAATAAATTCTATGTTCTTAACTGTACTGCAAAAGAGAACTATTATCCTGAACTCAGTTCCAAACAGTAAAATAGAAAAATGCTGGTGAAGTCAAAGGAACTGAAAATTTGATATGAGGAAAATTTCAGGAAATATATTATCTTTGTGTTAGAATTGCAAACAGTAATAAAATAGAACAAAAGTAGTACATATACCCTAGATATCAGGACAACATATTTCAAAGCATTCTGAGAATGGTAGGTATGAGTCTATTATTTAAAAAAGACAATCAAGAATTTACAAAAGACAAAAAAAAAAAAAAAAAAAAAAAAAAAAATCACCAGAACAGTATGTGAAAAGTAAACACCCAGGGTAAATCTTATAAAAGCAAAACAACAACAACAACAAAAAAAAAACCTTAAGCCCAAAAAGGAGCTTTTAAAGCAATACCCAGAAAAAATATTAATGAACAAATAAACTTTCACTGCTAAAGAAAGAGGATGTTAACTGATACCAAAACAGAGATGTTCCTATTTTATCACTATCTTCCAGAAAGATGATCCTCAAAACAAAACCAAAATAAACTGGAAAGAATTGATGTGGGTAGGATGACAGGAAAAAAGGTTTTAAATGAGCCCAAGTTTCTAGTTACAAAGAGAATTAATTCCAGGGATAAAAATCTCTCAGTCACTACAGGTAAGTTTTAAAAGTCAAGAGAGAACAAAGGTTACAGGATATGAATAACTTGTGAATGTTATACTCATTTCCAAAAAGGAAAAAAATAATAGATTATGGGAACTATAGACAAGTATACCAAAATTTCATAAGGAAAAAATATGGTCAAACTAACTTCATTTCCTATTTGATTACATTCAGTTGGTACTTTGGGGGAAATACCAGAGTCATGCAACACAATTTCACAGAAAAGAACTAAATTTTTCATTATCTTTTTGTAGGTATCTTGACAATGAAGCAGATTACACAGGTGACAGGCTCTGAAGTTGGCTGAATACCACCAAGCAGTGTGATTTAATTAAAAGCCAGCATTATTTAGTTTTTAGAAAATTGGTCTAAGGACCACAATCCATTAAGCATTTTACAGATGATTTAAAATAATATTTTTTAAACTTTGATGTCCTAGACACCATAAAAGACTTAAAAAATATGCTAACAGTCAAGTTGGTAGAGTTACTAGAGTAAGACAAATGTCAAAACAACACTAAAATATGATCAGGAGCTAAAATGAATAAAATGGAACCTATTCTTTACATTAGGCTTACACTCTAATGTACAACTATAGAATGGGGTTTAAACTGGCTGCAGCGCATGTGAAAAAGATCTGTACATTTAAATTGCCCACAGCTCAAGGAACAATCATGTCCTTTTATTTAAAAAGCTAATAAAAGCTGGACACAGTGGCAAATGCCTGTGATCCCAGTGGCTCGGAAGGCCAAAGGGAAATGGATTATGAGTTCAAAACCAGCCTCAGCAACTTAGTGAGACCTTGTCTCAAAAAAATGAAAAGGGTTGGGGATGTGACTCAGTGGTTAAGTGCCCCTGGGTTCAATCCTTTGTACAAAAACAAAAACAAAAACTAATCTTTTAGAAAAGTGGAAAATTTCAAGAAACAGATGATGCACCTTAGAATTCTAAACAGTTATAAAACAGAACAAAAGTAGTAGATATGTTACTTTAGATATCAGGACATAAGACATCACAAAGAAGGTAGTAATTATGTTTAATAATAGATCCATTTGGAAAATTATCTGATACTCACATCATAAGATGACACTACCTATACCTCTTTTTTCTAGTCACAAGTTAATTCCCTCTCCTCTTACAAAGATTTCAACACCCAGTTTACTATCTTTCACCAATACCACTCCCGTTGCAATTCTTGGTGATCTCAGTGTCCATACAGAAGATGACTCACTAAAACACCCTGGCCTCTAAGATATTAATTTTTCTATGATCTAGTCCTTAATTTAATCAGATGCTAATTCCATGGTAAGATCCCAACCTTTTCACTACTATCTATATTGCCTCTAAAATCTCAATTTTAAGATACATCTTCAATTCTTCTTAGTACCCAGATTCCAGTAAACCTTTGTATTCATTTTGATCTATATAACCCACCAATCTTGCCACCACTGTCATTGTCCTTCAGCCTCCCTCATGCCCTTCTTCCTGCAACTTACCCACCTTAAGTTCCATGTTGCACCATATAATCTCTCCCTTGATGATTATCTCATTTTTCTTGCCCTTTGCTTCCTCTTTTGTACTTGCCAGAAAAAACTCCAAATGGGTATATTCAACTCTTCTGGCAGCTAACCTCAAACTGGTCCAGATCGTTGCCTGGTAATACCGCTACCCTCTCCTAATCCATCCATTTCATGTCTTTCCCCCACCTTCCCCATTGTTTGTGATGACTTTGCTTTTTATATCACAGACAATATGGTACTAATATGAAAAGAATGTCTACGTTTTTCATCACACCTATAAACTCACTTCTATCCACAAACTCTACTTCTTCTCATGTTACTACCATACTGTCTGTGCTCCTACTTAATCTAACCTGTTTACTTTTATACCAAATCCCAACCTCTACTTTGAGTAAATGCCACAAGAAAAAAAAGAAGTTTTTGCTTCAATCTAAGAGCCCCTTTTAACACTACAGGTGTCAAAAAAATTAAATGAATTGTATCATAAATAGCTATTTGGGCTGGGGATGTGGCTCAAGCGGTAGCGCGCTCGCCTGGCATGCGTGTGGCCCGGGTTCGATCCTCAGCACCACATACAAACAAAGATGTTGTGTCCGCCGAAAACTAAAAAATAAATATTAAAAAATTCTCTCTCTCTTTAAAAAAAAAAATAGCTATTTAACTGTAGGGTTCCTTTGAAAAAAGTACTTTTATAGTAACTGGAAAATACGCAATCAACTCAGCACCCTTTCAAATCTAGAATTCTATGATTTTAGAAAATATAAAATTGGGACATATTCTAGTATAAGGTAACAGTATTAACTGGACTGTGCATGTTTTTCTCACCCTTGGCAAATGCTATTAAGTTTGTCAAAGGTTTCTCTGCTGATTACAAAAGTTTAAGAGAAGGAATAACAATGGAACTGAAAAAAGATAAATGCCATTTTCTACTGATTTTTTTAGAAACTTGTCTAGCCATTTTGTTTTCATTTTCAGGCTGTTCTATTTCTAGAACTGCTACCTTGGGAACTTCTAGTTTCTAACAGAAATGCATCTATCAAGAACAAGTATGTAAGATAATTCTTAGAACACCCTTGACTAGGAGAATAAGATCATGGTATTTGAGCATTATAGAGTATTTACTAATTATATTTAGTCATTTTATTATTTAAAATCTTTATTCTGCAACTAATTTAGAAGAAAGGGGCATTATAATGAAAAAGCAAATGTTGGGTAAATGTGAAAAAAATCAAACAAATTTTATTTACTGCTTGGACTATAATAAGTAAACTGCATACATCAAGTTAAATATATTTACCTTTAACAATCTTCTTTGCACAATCATTGTACACTTGCTCTTGAGATGTACTTGACTGGAACACCCGATCAAATGCATAAGGTTTGGACTGAAAAACAGAAACGCATTTCAATTACACAAATAAAACAGTGAGTGCATATTTCTAAGCTCCCTTAAAGATGCCATCATATATTTAACCTTCAAAATAGCATACACAGTATGTGTCATTTCATGTTATTTATCTTAAGTAGAAGGGATCTTAATGGTTCCCCATGTACAAATCCATTAGAATAATCTCTATGAAAACAAGAATTTCTGTTTTAGTCTTTGTTATGTTCCTAGGGCCCAGCCCAGTAATTACAATTAGCACTCCTATGGTAGCCAGTCAGATACTGCTGTTTTTTTTTTTTTTTTTTAAATATCTACTCTGGCAGGCATTGTGTCTCTATTTTCAATGCTTAATATCGTTTTGTAGATAAGGAAACTAGGACTTTGAAAGTCCTAGTTACTTACAAAAATTGTTAATGAGAAAACTAAATATGAATTCAAATACTTCCATTAATTTTGTTAGTAAAACAATTATATTAAAATTCAGGCATCTTTCTACTACTCCACTCAGCTTCAGTTTACTGAAGCAGCTTTTGAAGCACTGTTTTATTTAACATATATTTACGGAATGTGAGATGCCACCCTAGAATGATGACCAAGATGATACTCTCTTTACTTTAGTGGAGATTAAGTAATAGTGGGGCAGACTAGTTATACTATTAACTGACTAGAATTCTGACTCATGCAGCTGGGTACTTTGACAGTTCTAATACAGGAGAACTTGAATTTAGGGGAGAGTAGGAAAATGTCAGGAAAACACTCTCAGAAAAGAGATATTTAAGAATCTAAGAATAAGTAGCACCTAGCTCACTGTCACCCTCTTCAACAACAGTGAGGGATAGTGAAGATAGAGGTTAGTGAAGGATAGTAGTGTAGGAATTAAGAATAGATGCTTAAAAATCCTAAAGCAGAAAGGAGCTTATAGCATTCAAGAAACCAAAGGAAGTAGAAAAGAATCACAATATAGTATCCAGGTAAATCAACGAAAAAAATGTAGCCCTGAGGCCAAGACAAAACTGAAAAGTATCAGGTTGCAATAGGTTAAAAAAAAAAAAGAACAAGAAGAAGGGAAGAAATCAAATAGAACAGAAAATTTGGCCATAGTCTACTTTATTCACTTATATTTTTAAAAGATGGGCAGACCTGAATAAGTATAAACACTAGCAGGAACAATCAAATAATCTAGGAGGGAGAGTGAGTATCTAAAGATGAGAGAAAGAGGACAGGAGGTTCTGGGTATTTGCAACCATTTGCCTGCCCTCAGTTTCTTCTAAAGGAAAAGAAGCTGGGCCCTAACAGACAAAACAATTATGACCCCAGAAAAAACATAACATTATAGAATACTTTCTAGGTCTTAGTTGGAAAAGATCTACTTTTTCAGAAATTATAGTCCTCTCCCCAAAGCTTGGAATAACAGTTAAAATGAAGCAGACACTCCCTAAAGAGCTATCCAAAGTCATTCCTAATTCCCTTTTGCCTTGCTACCTCCCATTGGAAACCTGAAGGCCAGCTAGCCTAGTCTCCTTGCAATTAGTGGTCACATGACCTAATTCTGGATAATCTGAAATGGTCATTTGCTGAGAAGTCTCTGAGAAGTGTGTTGTTTTCCTGATAAAAGGGACCATTTCAGCTGAAACTGCTCTTTTTCCTTCCTATAATGAATCGCTGGAACTGTAGCATCCATCTTGGAAACATGACAAATATTATGATGAAAATTCAACAGTTATGAATGACAAGAGTTTAACAGAACCAGGGTTCTAGAAACAGAAGGAGTTAAGGGCCCATTTTTAGGCTTTTGTTATGTGAGAGAAATAACCTCTTATTTATTGAAGCCACTACTGTTTGTTTTCCCTGTACTTCTAAAAGCATTCCTCATAAATACACTAAGATGACCTCACTTTGGCATCAATTTTAAAATGGCATCAATGTCTGATTATTCTTTAGCTATGAGGTAGATGAAAGTATCTTTTGCTAAGGTGCTACTGAAACATTAATATTCAATTCCACAGTTATAGTTAAAAAAAGACAATCAAATACAAAAGACATATTCATGGTAAATAACACTGAAAATATATAATTATAACATACAATTAAAAGTATATTCACTCCCAGCAGCTCAGGAGGCTTAGATAGGAGGATCACGAGTTCAAAGCTAGTCTCAGCAACAGCGAGGCACTAAGCAACTCAATGAGACCCTGTCTCTAAATAAAATACAAAACAGAGCTGGAGATGTGGCTCAGAGATTGAGTGCCTGAGTTCAATCGCCAGTACCAAAAAAAGCATATTCACCATCCAGAGATAAACCATGCAAATAGTTTTTCCATATTAAAAGAAAGTAATCTTTCCTCTTTAGTTATACAGAAAACACTTAATAATTATAAAATATCAGATATTATGGATAAATAACACAATTTTATAAATGATATTTAATTACACAATAGACTGTCGAGTTCAAAAAGAAATAAAGGACAAGGCTGGGTAGAGCTTGATTACCAACAAAAGTTATATATTAGGATCTATAATATAGGTTGAGTTGAAATGGAGATAGCCTAATATCTGGTAAAGAAGCCAAGAGACTGTAACTAGTCAAAATATACATTTAATAACAGTTATGTAAAGAATGATATGAAAGCAAAAATTAATAGTTAATGCTAATTTTGCTTACAAGAAACAGGTTAATGAATAGAAAATGGGGAAAACTATGAAGTATTCCTTCAAAAATAAAGTTAAACTATAAAACCTTATTAAAATAAACATTTAAAACATAAAGAATAATATTACTCGGCTTAATACAATATCTCAATTTTTACATCAATTAAAAATAGTGGTCCTAAACCATTTACAAAGAGATATGCCAGAAATGACGGGTAACAGTAAAGCCTGCCTTAAAAGAACTTCATGCAATTATTTACTTTATTAGCATCTCGAAGCAAATATGCAAAACTACCACTACAACCTTAATAAAATAATATAAATGGCAATGACTAAGTTGCTGAGGCTGGCCTCAAACCTGTGATGCTCCTGTCTCAGCCTCCCTAGTTGGTGGGATTACCGCCACAGGCCACAGCACCAGAATAAATGGCAATGATTAAAAGATAAAACACAAATATAAAAATAAATAAGTTCAAAGCGAGTGATTTATATAATTGTTAAACAAAAAAATCAACTTAAATGCTTAGCATTAAGTTGATGAGTAGTCTTCTTGACTGCAAAACTTAATTATAGTTTTAGTAAGTAAGGTGAATGTTTTGATTAAAGATCTAGTTGAAAAGTTATTAACTGACCCTGGCTTCCTGGGTTGAAATCAAGACTGTGAAACAAAAATTATTTGTAATGGTGTAAAATTAAGGCATATCTCAATTTTTCAAATAGATTAAACAAAGAAAAATAATTATCCAAACAGCTATATTTTTAAAACCTGGTTTTTAGACTTGAAATATACATGATGCAGCCTATAATTCTATGTATCTTCAAAATTACTCAGTTTTACAAACCTCAAGTCATAAGATGCATTCATATCTGACTTAGGCATCAGGAGGAAAAATGAAAAAGAACAAGTTTATCTGAACTGGAACCCATACCTCGGATTTCTTAAATGAAGTGAGCCTGTTTTGAGTCTAAAACAGACCAGACTGAATACCAAATTTGGTTTTGAAGCACATCCCCTGAGATTTTCCTTTATCAGACAATGACTTTGCGTTAACATTCCACAATTATAAAGGTACGTGATGGCTCCCTCTTGCAATTCTCATACAAAGTCAAACCATCAAATCATGCTCAAACACCAAATTATCGATGACTTAAAAAGGGAAATCATGTTTTGCTTTAGGCAAGGAAACGGGCAAGATGATCTAATTAGTTTTATTCTTTTTCTCATCTCAATGAACTACAACAGGCAGTTTTGGGTTCTAGCCAACTTCTATAGTATACCACATAAGAAACTATGATTAGCAATGATTTAATCATGCAAATTAGCATAAGCAGGCACAGAAGTTTTTCTATTGATTTTGTTTTTAGTGTTTTCGGCAAGCTCATTTGAACTTCCTGGTTTGTGGGTAAGTTCTCTAATTTAAAACAAACTGGTTATATTTGTATCATTTTAAAATTTCCATAAAAATCATTCATTTCATTCAATGTAATATTTATAGCACTTCACTAAGCATTTAAATTGCTAATAAATTAAAAGCTGTACAACACAGAGAAAAACCCCATAAAATTAAAAGGCTTGCCTGCCATGGGGTAATATTATGTTAAAGTCACCGCTTCCTTGAGTAACAGAATGATATTTGCACAAAGTATTAAAAATTGAACTTAGAAAAAAAAACCAAATTATTTTCTGCATGAACACTGTTTATGCTTACAATTCAGTAACATCATAAGCTAAAATTCATGTTTTAAATTTTTAAAAATATTTTTTAGTTGCAGACAGATACAATACCTTTATTTTATTTATTTGTGGGTTTTTTTTTTTAAACGTGGTGCTTAGGATAGAACCCAGTGCCTCACACATGCATGGCAAACACTCTACCAACTGAGCTACAACCCTAGCCCACATGTTTTAAATTTTGATGTAATGTTTACACACATGTCAAAACTGATCAAATTGCATAATTCAAATATGTGCATTTTATCGTACTTCAATTTTATCAATAAGGCGATAAAAAAATTTTAACTTGAAAACTATATAGATGTTCATAAATCACATTTAAGATAAATAAAACAAACCAGGAGATGAATTTCTGGAGATTTTCTAATTTTGTTCCTTCCAGCTGCCCTATGACTGATTCAAAAAACTGAACAAAATACAGGATTTCCACATAATAAATGTACCTATTGTATGCAAGAAAGCAGTTCCTAAAAATAATGAACTACCCATTCCCTTACACTTTTTAAGGCTATGTAAGTGAGTCGTAATGTATGTTCCCTTATATTTTCTTAAAAGACCAACAAAAGGCTCACAAGTTTATCTAAAGGTCAACAAAGTGTTTATTACTGATTCACAAACAAAACACCTATCCTTTATTTCTAATATTTTCATTTATTCATACTTTGAAAGAAACTTATAAATTTTCCAAAGGAAATGGCCTAGAGTAAATGTATGAACGGTTCCTGTGGTAATTATTTGGTTTATTTTAACTCTTCCTTCATATTTTAAGTCATATTTGAGCCAAAAAGTTTACTTTCTAACCTAATCATAATAATTTTGTGATTCCTAGATTTTAGCATTCCAGCACACATAATTCTTACAGGTTTGTTTAAAAACAAAAGTCTGAAGAGACAACACAAGTGGGAAAGAAAAAAATAGCTTTGTTAAGTAAAGCACTGCTGAGTAATCACAAAAACTTAAGAAACTGGTAGCCTCAAGTTTGACAACTAATCCAGAAGTCAATGCATCCACTCATTCCATGTCAATGCTATCCTCCTAAAGGAAAAGGATCACTGTGCTTAACTTCTCCGCCTTGCTATGATGTCATTTATAGCTAGAGTTTTTCTTGCAGACTTGTTAACAAAGAACTGGCTTGACAGTTTTCACACAGCAGCAGTTTGCAGTTATTAGTGACCTAATGATTTTTCTTTTTTTTTCCCAAAAGCCTATTAAGGGGATGTGGAGTTAACACATTCTTTTCTAAAGTTTAACTTTGGAAACCTTCACATTAAAATTCCAAACAACTTCAGTCCTGTTTTCTACATTAATACTTTCTAGTCATCAATGTCCCATCTCCTGTGACCTCTCTGTTCTATTTCCAAGTTAAACAGCACAAACAATACACTAAATAAAACAATGCATTAGAGGAAAACAATGTATTAACATATTACAATTGTACACCCTGATAACAATGTAGGAAAAAAAAGTTCTACCACATGGCATTACCAAAATAGATTTAATTTTTAGTCATAGTTCACTCTACTGTATGCAATATCTTATTCATATTTAATCTACTAGAACTAAGAATGCTATTTTCTCAGATCTCAAAAAATCTTCACTTTTGGTCTTCCTAAATGATAGTCAAAACTAATTGTCTACCCTAGGAAAGAACAATGGTTTATTATTTCTGGGATTACCAAAATCAATTTTCTTCAACATGGACCTTAACTGTATAAATATGAATCCAACAATGGTCAATTGTTACTTTTTAAAAATCTTTATTTTGTTTATTTTTATGTGATGCTGAGGATCAAACCCAGTGCCTCATATGTGCAAGGCAAGCGCTCTACCACTGAGCAACAACCCCACCCCTCAACTGTTATTTTTTATAAATTTGTTTTTATTAGTACTTTCCTAAACTGATACCCCATAAAACCGAGTAAATTTGAGAGTCTGAATTTTTCTGATGGTTATTTGACCAAATCTTAATCTGCTTAAATCTACCATAAAATTAAATTGATAATTCCGATTTTAAAGAAAACGATTTCTTTTTACCGTCCTCGATTTTTCACAGTAACTGTTTAAATGAAAAGTCATTCATTTCTCAAAAGATGGGTAGGTGAACATCTGAGACAGGTATGTTTGTAGTTGTACGTTAGCTTTCCAAAGCTAGTTTTATACTAAGCATCTTTAGAGTTAAGATACATTAGGGCTGGTTTCATGGCTCAATGCTTTAGTTAAACTAGGAATTAATATCACACATTTAATGAATGGTAAATGAGGCGGGGGGGGGGCGTAATCCAAGATACCAACAGCATCAGCAACAGTAAGAGCACAAACACTGGCAAAAGTGCCCTAAGCTCCCTGAGGGCTCCTCCAGCGCCCCAGGTGGGGGAGTGTCCCACGCTGCGCCCAGGCGCCTCCCATCTCCCGGCGCGGAAGACCCGGGTGGGGACGAGCCAGGAATGCCACTGGGCTCACTGAACAGTTCCCCCGACTGAGTTATTTGAACCTGCGAAAACCCGCAGGAAAGTATTCAGGACACCAGTGTTCCCTCTCGGTTCTGCACCCCGCCACGTCCCTGAACTCCCAGCCCAGCCAGGCTCGAAGCGGCCCGAGAGGTGGGGGCGGGGGTCACTCACCGCGATCATGACCGTGTCATCTCCCTGAAACTTGGCGACATACTTGTCGCCGCGGTTCACCTCAGACTCGTTGAGAGGTCTGAAGCGACACATTACTTTGATGTTGCACTCGGCTGGGTCCGCCATCTTTCTCGCAGCCGGGGCCAGAGGCCGGGAGCCACTCCCCGCCTCTCAGTCTTGGAGGGAGCAGCCCGAGCTGAGGGTCCGGGGTCGCAAGGGACGTGAGAGTCAGCCGTCCGCCGCGCCGCGCTTCCCCAGGCGGGGGCGGCCGGGGAGCCGGGACTCTGGACGCCGGCGCCCGCAGCCCTGGCCCCGAGGCTCACTTCCGATCCATCATGGCAGCCATGGCGGCGGCTGTACCCGGTAGACCGGCGGCTGCTCCTTCAGCTTCTCCCTCGCGGGGCTGGGCAGACTCCTGGAACTGGAGAGATGCTGGGGCCCTAGAAAGTGGCCCTCTCCTTTCTCCTGATAACGAGCAAGTCGGGCCCACCTGTCCGCCCGCGCGGCTGTCCACTTGCCGGCTGACGCCCGATCCCTAGAGGCCATAGACCGGCGACTGGGCGCCGGGCAGGGTGGCGCTGAGGGGAGGACTGCGCAGGCGCGGTGGCCCGGCCGTCCAGACAACCAATCCCCGCTCGCTTCGCCCCGGCGGCTCCGCTGCCACTCAGGGCGGGGGTCGCAGATTCAAGTTCTCTGGAAGTTCAGCTCAGAAATTCCTTTAGAATCTGCGACGGCTGTGTGCGACCAATCCGACCCGCGCCGAATTCTATAGACTCTCTCAGCCAACTTTTCTTGGGGAGAGAAGGAGTTGAACTATTAATGTTTTAGTTTAAATTCATTTCCAGATCCCTATAAGGGAGTGTTTGCTTTCGTTTTTGCCCTGGGGAAAACATCACCTTTTTAAAGCGCGCTTCCAAAAAAGGGAGATTTGAATGAAGGGTGGGGCATGGCTCTCCTTGACGCAGTAGCTCCTTCTTCAGCTAATAGGTGGGAACCCAGGGGTAAGGGGGTATGTGGGGGGATTTCTCCTAAGGAATTAAAAAGGTTGCTGAAGAAATGTGGAACAGTAGGGTGAGGTGGAGAACCCCTCCATTCCCCTCACCCCTCCACTCCCCTCACCCCACAGTTTGTGTTATCCTCAGTTGCCCAGGGCCTAGCATCACACAGGTGGGTGGCAGCTTCCCAAACCTTCACAGGAGCAGCCTCATACATATTCAATCAATCAAAGGTCCTACTTTCCCCCAACAATAGATTTACAGAATTCGTCTATCTCAATGAGGGAGAGGTTTGGGATGGAAATGACTGACCTGTAGCATAAAGATGCTCTTAAAAAGGCCTAGATAAATTTGTGGATTACATGTCTAAGTAATCCACTCCAGAGGCTGGTAATGTAGCTCAGTGGTAGAGCACTTAAGGAGCACATTTGAGGCCCTGGGTTTGATTTCCAGCACTAAAAAAAATTATTTTTAGAAGAAGGATATCATAAGTCTTCTTCATGCGGAAATGGCTCTGGAGTGCTGAGAAGAACTTCAATGACATTTAAAACTCTCCCTCCGGCACCCAGTTTTTGTTTGTAAAATGAAAAATTGGACTATGAAAACCTCCAGTGACTTCTGTGCTCACCCAAGCATCCTAATACCTCCAGAAATGAATCTATTGTTATGTAGGTTTAGTTTGACTCGCTGAGTGAAGGAGAGTTTACACCAGCAGGATGGTGGAGCATCCCACCAAATAAAGGAAAAGGTGGAGTAATCCCAGGCCATTGGGGAGACTTGTGGAATACTGGTAAAATTTAAATGACACAGTGTTTTGAGAGGCCTCATGCGAAACAGAACCGTGAGTAAAGGCATCAAATTTAATATAGACGTGAAATGTCTTCAGAAACACCCTTCCCCCACCCCTACTCTTCTACCTTGGAAATCAAGGCTATTTCTCTATGTATTAGATTCTCTAGGCAGGAATGTTTTGTTCTTATTGTTATAATTTGTAACAGTAATTTCTGATTAGTCTGTGATTTTAGAGAACAAAGTTTCTCAGCAAGAAACCAGTAGTCAAAGAAAGAGGTTGTTGTGACACTCTATGGATTCAGCATGTCCTTGAAGTAAATACTTTTCCCTATTCACTTTGCAGCTGTGTTTTTTAGCCCACTCTGATGGGGTAGATTTTCTTTTTTGTTTCTCACCCCTTCAGTCTTTTTATTCTTCATCTGATTTCTCCATTATCTCTATGTCCTATTACCCTTATCTCTAATTTCAGAAAAATTAAAAAAACAGCTATTTCCCTCTCTAAAATTAATTTTCACTTACATCCTGAATTCTAACTCCAATAACTGGATTATACCAATGTTCATCAGGTTCTTAAATATTTGATTTCTCCCTTTTCTCAGCTTCCTTGAAGAAAAACAGGAAACAAATATGCTTAATCTTTCCATCTTTCAAACAACAACAACAACAAAACCTAACACCTTCATTGCTCACTCTTAGCCTCTGTCAAAATAAAGCCAGACCCTAAAGTGATAAGGACAGATTTTAATCAGTAATAAGCTGTTGCTATAAGCGTTAAAAATTACAAACAAACAACAACGACAAAAAAAAAAAAACAGGAAGTGGAAGTTGTTTTATGTGAAACCTATTTGAGTTTGTTTACTAGACATATATAGAGGTTAGGTTCCTATACTTTCACAGATGCTGAGAGATAAGGATCCTATCTTCTGTTGTTTTCTGGTACTGTTGAGTTTTCTGTGAAATGTACTTTAAAGGCAGCTGGGGTCATCCTAGGGATGTGTCATTCAGCTATTAAAAGTTATGTTAGTATTTTGTTCAAGAATTTATAGGCCAAGGGTGAGGCCTAACTAAGAAAGACCTCAGAGGAACCTGACTAGAGTTCAGTCAAGAAGAGAATCTTGTCACTTTTGTAGCATATGTAGGTGAAATTCACTAGAAAGGACTATGTCCCACTGCTCAGAAGCAGCCCCATCTGATAATAGCAGTGGTTATTCAACTTTCTACATGAAGAATGTGGGCCCAACATTGTTAAGTCTTCCTGTTTTCCAAAAAAGGAATAATTTAGATAGTGTTTAAACTCCCGATGTTAAATTTGCCATCAATATAATAATGATTTAAATAATATGTGAGCTAAGTAAAATGTGTCTCCTGTGTTGGATACAGGTGTGCTCCCAGTTCAGCCTTTGCAGCAGGATGCCATGAAGGTTTTATCCTCAGTCCTCTGCTCTATTATCTCTGAGCTCACTTCCTCAACAATTGCTGGAATCTCCTTGTCTACAACCTTACCTTTTCATCTGTGTGATGTTCCCATCTCTCCAGCCACCTTATAATAGCATATATGCTATACCATAGCCTCAAATTTAGCATTTCAGAAATGGAATTAAAGCCGGCCACGGTGGCACATGCCTGTGATCCCAGGAGCTCCAGACACCTGAGGCAGGAGGATAGTGAGTTCAAAGCCAGCCTCAGCAACAGCGAGGTGCTAAGCAACTCAGTAAGACACTATCTCTAAATGAAATACAAAATATGGCTGGGGATGTGGCTCAGTAGTCGAGTGCCCCTGAGTTCAATCCCCAAATCCAAGTCATACCTTTACTTATACAGATTAAAAACATAAAATTACCACTGTGGAAGTTAGTCGCCAATGATTATCCTCCCATGAACCATGCCTCCTTTGATTCACATCTTTGTGCAGTTTCCCTCCTAGAACCTTGGCTGGACCTATGATACACTTATAACTAGTGTAATGTGCCAGAAGTGCATGATATTGCATGCTGAGATTAGGTAAGGAGAACCTTTGCTGCTTCTATCTTAGTCTTTTGCAAAACTCTTTCTGGGACCTCTGACTGCCATATAAGCAGACTAGCTACACTGCATGGTGCTGGAAAGGTCACATGTAGACACTCCAGACTATTGTCCCAGCTGATCCTTCCACTCATCCCTACCTAAGGACTAGACTTATGATAAAGCCATCTTGGACTATCCAAATCAGCATATTGTCAATCTCAATTGACAATCTCAGAATAGAAGAATCACCTAGCTGAGGCCTGTCCAGATTCCTGACCCATAAAGTCATGAAATGCAATAAAATGGTTATTGTTTTAAGTTGCTCAGTTTTGAATAATTTGTTACATAGCAATAGATAAATGAAATAATAATCTACAACTTGGAACCTAAAATTTACCACAGAATAATCTGTAAAATGTTATTTAGGTATAATAAATATATTAAAATTGGACTCTATTATAGATTAATTATAAATTAAATAGTTGAAGGAAGGTCTTATAACTACTGTTTAGGACATTATTATTGTAAGAAAATATGTTTTATATTTCTTGTGAAATCACTTTTAAAAACAGGTTTTTGGAATAGGAAATTATAGCATATCTTCTTTGCTCTCCCACCTGCCTCGGTACTAGTGTTCAAATCCAGGGGCTACACCCCCTGCAGTCCTTTTTATTTTATTTTGACATGGGTTCTTGCTAAATTGCCCAGGCTGGCCTACAACTGCAATCCTTCTGCCTCAGCCTTTTGAGTACTGGGATTGCAGGTGTGAACCGTGGTGCCAGGCTAGCTTCTATCTTTTCAAATGTGTAGAAGACACACATCTTTCCCTTTGTATTTCCACTTCCCCTTCCAAGTCCAGGGTTTCATTCAGTACTTTATGCCACTTTCTTACTTGATCATTCCATAAATATGGGTTGAGTTCCTACCAAGACCAGTTACTGGGATAAATGTTGGAGATACAACAGTGAAAAGACTAAAGCATTCTTCCTATGTCTACTATTTTGCAGGCCCTTTTCAGATTAACTTTTCTAAAACACTGTTTGTATTACATCATTTTATTACTCAAGAACCTACAACTTCCCCCACTTTTTTTTCTCTCTGATTCAAACAAGTTCAAATTCCTCTGATTGGATTTCAAGGCCTTTGGTCACCCGACTTCCCCTTAGATATGTAGGGTTTTCTCACTGCTCCATAACTTACTTTCTTAATCCCTGGAAACTGACCTTCCCACTGTACTTCTTGTGATTTGCTAATTTCAAAGTTATGCCAATCTCACCCTGTGTCTTTTTCTCTCATGTCTCTATGAATCTATCCATCTTTTCTCAATTCCCACTTTCTGTAAGTAGTTTTTCACCATGGAATTATTTCACAGGTTGGACAGAAAAACACCCATACTCTATTTAATATCATACTTTAATTCTTTAGGACATATTTTTCAAACTACTTTATCAAAATAACCCATGGTCACAGTTTAAAAATTAAAATTACACTAGAATAATGCAAAATTCCTTCATTTTTCAGTGCTGCCATTTGAACTCTTTTAGCAGTTTCTTTTGGTATTTATCTCCATGTTTATAACTAACATCTTTTTATTGTGTTTCTTGATTAATTAATAATTATTATTAAATGAAGCTATAGCTCCTTTATACTGCTCCCCATTTGAATAAACACACACATTTTTTATCTTATGTGAATATTTCTATCATCATTAAATAAATATATAGTGTTTACATTTTAAGTAAATACCTATGATTGCATTTCCTCTTTTGTACAACTTTTTGTTT